CGACCAAAGGCTATAGCCTTTGGTTTTTGGCCAAATTTTGCAAAAAATGGTTAGGAGAGAATCTCCATTTTTATAATTTTTTCTGATGCATATACATGTTTTTATGTTGTGTAGCAAGTTTGAGTTAATTCTGATCAAATTTGGATTTTTTACAAATTTTTGAAGTTGCTTCAAATGCCATGTACTGTATTATAGTACTTGTCAGCCAAATTGATTCAAACTTTCAAAATGGCATGCATGTACACACATGTACATGTATAATCATTAAAAATAATTATAAATAAAATTGGGGTATTTATCCTCATTACATGTATTATTACATGTTTTTCTATTAGGGGCTTATTAGCTTTGTGGGAGTACATGGAGACTCAATTAGGCATAGACCCATCATTAGTCTGGAAGAAAATACAAGACTTAGTCATTAAAACAATGATGAGGTAACTATACACAATGTACCAGTAAAAAAATAATTTTGACCTCCTCTCCCTCTCTCTCTCTTAGCTGTGAAGGCTACATAGCTTCATTGATCAAAGCTAATTGTAGAGACAGTAGTACTGTACATGAGCTATTTGGATTTGATATCATGTTGGACAAGAATTTGAAGCCATGGCTATTAGAGGTCAATGTGTCGCCAAGGTAAAGTACAGTTGTACATGTACATACATGTATTAATAATGGATAGATGGTAGTACCAAAAGTATAAAATCCCTAAAGCATTATATACATGTACATCTATTCCTGATGATACTAATAATGCAAATATAGCATATTCTATAATTTTACATGCAAAAACTATTTTTAGCATTATTGTTAGTGTCAATTCAATCACGAAAGTTCTTACTGTCAAGGCAACGGAACAAATAATAAAATAACAGAACTAGAACTAGAAATATAAATATTATTACTATTGTGAATACAATAATGATGTCACTGCCTTGTCAACAGGAAATTCCATTGAGTGTCACTACTGATACCATACATGACATCTACATAGTTCCAAGTCCACTAATCTCACTCTTTCCTCTCTCTTTAGTTTACATTCAAATTCACAATTAGATTACAACATAAAAGCTCCTATGATGAGAGATCTATTCAACATGGCTGGCTTTTCTTTACCAAAAAGGTATAGAAATTAATGTCTGAAGTAAAAGCAAAAAAAGCATAAAAAATAACGTTCCATGCACATGTACACCTCATGCAATCAGCATGTACTACTGCCCACTCATCACGTACATTATGAAAGAGGATTATCATAATCAAATTAATATTAAATTCTTTAATTGAACCTAAGTACTCTTGGTCTTTCCCTGTTTAGTAGCCAATTCAGCACTACTACATACAGGTCAATGACCTCAAAGGAGAGGTTAAAGGTAAGAGTATATAGTTCCTGTAAAGTCATTTATATTTTTTGCAGCATTCACATTATAGTCGTCTAGCTGGACGAGAGGTAAGCAATATCAGCATTTACTATGGAGACATGATTCCGTCTATCTCTTTAATAGTGTGACAGACACAGCATACTGCGTGAACTGACTCAGCATGACTACAAGATACTAACACGATTTATAGATGAAGTATGGTCATGCAATTTGCAAATCAGACATAATACCTTGTACTCTGTGTGTGTGTGTGCGCATACATTTTAAAATGTTTGTTATTTTTGGTTACTATTATTAAACAAACTCCATTAATAATAAATAAATAAATACACACCCAAAACTAAAATAAGAACCCACACATACACAAATACCCTAATGGTCTAAATCCAAAATAACCTAATGGTCTAAATCCAAAATAATAATTTTTTAATTCCTAAAATTAGAATAACAGGCGAGGAGGTTTTATCAGAATATATCCAACCACAGAAACAATAGGACACTACACGCCTTACTTCCAATATGAGGTAAAGGAACAACGCCTTATTTATTGATATTTAATTTTCATGTTACATGCAGAGATATAACAATATTCTAGTTGAGGAATGGTTGAAAGAATATGGTAAAAAGCCAGAGCAAGGTGAGAGGAGAGAAAGAGAGAGAGCTTGCATGTCACATGCATAATAATAATTATTATGCTGAGTTGCTTGACTATGATTATGATCTCAATTATGATGATGAAATTAACATAGCATAGGGTTAACATGTGACCAATGTAATTATCTAAGGAATCGTCCTTTCTCCTTTAGGTATTTCCTGGCTCAAATCTGCAAACATTTGCTAAGTTGCATCATTCATTTTCATATGAGGGACTATTTTAAAGTTTCCCCATGCCAAGTGATTTTATTAAAATACACAATAATAATAATTGCTTACAATGTTAATGTTATCTTAAATTCAAAGTCATATTACATTTGGGAAATGAAAAAGTTCCAGTTATAATTAGGGTAATTAAGTTAAGATGAGGGAGAGTCATTATACACTCACTTTCACTTCCTAAGAATGGCATCTCTCACCACAATCCTCTTGTAGTCTTTCCACTTGCATGCCTCAACGTACTTCTCAAAGACAGCAGCAGTGCTAAGATATTTCAATGACATTTCATGAACAAGGGAAGGAAGGTTAATCGTATGCTCGTACTTCAGTAAAACTTGTTTGTTAATGGCGAGACATTTTGCATAATGTTTACTAATGACGCTCATGTTCGTCTTACCCTCACCAATCCCAAAGATCTCACCAGGGAGCAGGTTAGATACATGTATCCACCTCCGAACGAGGCAACTGTCACAGCTTTCCCTTGCTCCTCTCTCTCTCGATGGCATGAGAAGTCGTTGGTGTCCTTTTCTCCAGTCGTAAGTTTCTCTTATTTTTAGTTTATGTAGTACGGTTGCTTCTCCATTGACAAGAAGATAAGCAAAGTTGCCTGTTTTGCTCAAGTCTTTTATGATAACAGAGCGAGGTGGGAAATTTATAAATTTTGAGGCTTTGGCAATTGACTGTGCAATGGCTCGATCGGAGAACTGGCTGAAGAATGGATGCCACTGTATGATATTTAACCTCCATACCCATTCACGATCAAACGATACTCTCACAATCTCATTGAAATCAGAGACACTGATTCGTAAAAGTGTCGTCTTGCTTTTACAAACAACCGTTATCCTTTCTTTGTTCCTTATTGGTCTTAAATCCCCAACGGAACATCCCGAGGAAACATTAGTCTCTTTTATGACGGAGAGATGACCATTTTCCTCCGACTCCTCAGTCACAGCAGTGTACACTTGTCCGGTTAGTATAAAATACAAGGAGGTATCATCAGGTCTCTCTCCTCCTGGGGCAACCTCTCCTTTCTCCAGTGAGTGATAGTGAAGGATTCTGGCCACTTTGATACGAATATCTCTAGGATAGGACCACAATGGCTCCAACTGCAATGATATTGAGGAGAGATAGGTCAGTTCTAATTGGTTTCTCTCTCTTGGTGGTTTGCTCAGTATGTTTATGGCTTTTGAAGGTAACGGTCCTCTGAGAGGAAAAGAGATGAGATGGCCATGAGAGAAAGCTGTCTTGTATCTCTTCTCCTCGTGGAGGAACGTGGTTACCTGAAAGAAACCCATAATAATGACAAGATGCGTTGCTAAGGCAACTAAAATTAATTGGCTAAAATAATTATTTTTAAATAATAATTTATTTCAAAGATAATATAATACAACAGGTATAAATAACGAAAATAACAATAGCAGCTCACATTAATAATCACAATAATAAGAGCTAGATACTATAATAAATAAAATAACTGAATGTGGTGCTATAATTGAATGTGAAGATGGTTGAACAGTTGAATTGCAACTAATAAATGATTATAATATTAAATGATTATAATATTTCAAAAAAAAATTAATAATAAACAGCACAAACAGAAACTCATAATTTATACAATAATTTACAATAATATAGCTTGACACATGAATCAATAATAATAAAGCGATTATGCTAATAATGAATAATTGATACCTAAATCTTTTCTTCAATTTTCTCCTAATTTCAGTTTCGTCAAGGTTGAACCAAATTACCAACATCAATCATCACTTTGAAAAACATAGCATCATCCTTAACATAAGCTGGATCGTTAAGCACAGAGAGTGGAGCAAATCTTGGGCAACCAGAAGCAACATTCATTTCTGATTTTGGCTGCCAGAAAGATGATGAAGAAGGCTCAGGTTTAAAGCACTGTACAATATGCTTTCCAGAGCCAGACTGATCCAGGAGCATCAGAGTAACCATTTGTGAGAAGGGCCATGGTAATAGAGCATCATATTCTCCACGCATTATAGTAAGGAAGTAAGAGATGTGAGAGTTCTTGCCTGATCCATCTCCATTTAGATATAATCTCAAACAAAGTTTATATCCAAACCTGCTCGTGTAGAAAGGTGCGCTGTACAGCGACACGGTTTTGCCAGTCTTTGCATCGTGTCTACGTCTATCAACTTCGGGTATCTTCCACACGAACTGACCATTGTAACTGGTAGCTTGAAGAGTTTGAAAGAGAAGGGATAACTCTGAGAAACTGTCCTGGAGCTCGCTCAGTTTTATTTCACATTTCAGTAGTCCGTCGCAAATTGGTGCCAGCCTCTTTTCCATCTCGTCCTTTTGTTCTGTTAGTTCTGCTCTCGTTGACTCAAGGACTCTTTTCTCTGTTTCTTCTACCAGCTGCTTCCTTGAGTCTTCGAGTTGGGAGCCACCAGCAGAAAGAGTTTTCTCAAGTAGTCCAAGATGATAGCCGGAATCATCTTTGTAATGTTTGAGCAAGCCATCAAGAGTATCCTATAAAGAGAAAGGAAATAGCATTATGCTCAGGTGATGTAACAATGAATTCCTTACCTTTTTGTGGCAGCCATATTTAGTATAGCGACAAGGCCTCACTGTTAGGGGGCAGTAATTGGCAAGATGATCTCCTAACTACAGCAAAATAAGAAAAACATGATCAATAAACATTCAAGCTTTTGATCCTCCTTTCATTTCTTTGTCCTCTCCCACTAGTCTCTCCCACTCTCATTCCCTTTCACTCCCTTACCTCTTTTCTAAGGAGCTTCTGCCCACAGCCAGATGAACATAGGATAGAATATTCTGGACAATCGGTTTGGTGATGATTCTAAAAATAAAGTCAAATAATCCTCAATCATCAAAGAAACTTGTTGACATACTTCAATTTGGAATGAAGGGTATGTTTCGAGACAATATTCACAAGAAGAGGGAGTATAAATACAAGAAGAAACATGTGTAGACATTTCATTTCTAAGTAATTTGATGCCACAGTGAGGATGAGGACATGTAATAACAGAATATTTACAGGAATCAACGTGACTCTATATACACAAAACAAAAATTAATAAATTATGATTACTGAGAACTCCCCACCCATTGGTAGTCTCGCAGGTCTGGCCACGCGAGACTAACCCATTGGCAGAGCTAAGCAAAATAATTATTAGAAAATGATCTAAAGCTAGAGCTTGCCAACACAACTGATATCTTTAGGGATGTTTCCTTTACAATTAAACTTACTTTATACATAATATTAGTTCCAATCCAGGAGCATGAAGGATTGAAGCAGGGAAATTTAGCTAGTTTTAGTTCGTTTTGTACAGCTCTGTCTTTGAATGACTCGTTGAGAGGGAATGGAAAGTTACATCTCTTGCATAGAAATGCTTCTGTGTCCTTACTCTCCAGGAAGAGAGAGAAGCAAGACGAGCATATACGACAGCCACAGCTAGTCTGTCTAGCTCCATCAGTCAGTGGATAGCCACACTCACAGCACAGTAACGTTAATAGGTGAGGCTGAGTCAGTTTCTCTCCTAGTAGGTCTGGTGCTCTAGCTACTTGACTGTATATTAACTCTAGACTGCTGTTTTGTAGACTGCTTGCCATTTTAGTAAAAAAATTATGTTTCCATGCTTTCCATGCATGCTTTTATAACATGATGTGATTATGACATCATATCATAAGACTAGCACCCCTCCCATATCCTGATGAATATAATAATAATAATAATGCATAATAATGACGTGTATACTACAATATAAAATCAATAGATTTTGTCACATGACCAATTTATTTGACCTTTCCACCTAGACAAAAGGTGACCTTTATACACATCATCATCGCTATTTTTAGAACTGACTTTGTATGCAAGGTCAGTTCAAGCGGTGGCATTAGTTCAAGGTTTAATGAAATCATAGTGACGCTCTGTGACAGATCTAAAAACAATAAACATTTATTTTTTAAAATGCTTTTTTAAAACTCACTTAAGTTAAGTATAACTGGTTCCATAAATTGCCCAAGGCCATCATAATAATGAATATTAAACTCGATTATTGAAAAACAGCTACAAAATGATGCAATAAGATAAAAAATTAATAAGAAACCAGATAAGCAGCTTGTGCAATACAGACAAACAACAAATACAAATGATGTAATAATACTAGCTTATACACCTGGTCGTGCAATATCAGACAGCTATTGCAAAGAAAAAATAAAGGCTTGAACGTTAAAATCACAACAAATCACTGCCTCTCTCTCCCCTCTCCCCTACCTGTTCTTGTCCACAATATCTTTATTAAGACTGAATATGACTGTAAAATGACTTTCAGAACAAACCACCCATATAGGATAAACCGGACTTTTATAAAATTCACCAACCTAAAGTGGAAGAAATGTCCAATGATGTCTGTGCATGTACATGCATTTGTTGCGTGGGAAATGATATCATTGGGTATCTTTAGGTCGGCATTTCCCACACAACAAGCATACACATGCACAAACAAATACAGGTAAACATGTTTGTGTAACAACAACAAAACTTTTTAGACTATACAAATCATATGAGAAATGATTTTATTGTTGTGATTTCCCCCCAGCCCCAGTAGGAAACACATCATGAATATAATAAAAGCTACATGCACATTCATATGAAAAGTTATCATACATGATGTAGATACATGTACAGTATACAATACATGCAGTTCCACTCATTGTGTATATGAGCTTGAGGATAAAAAATGACTCACTTTGCAGCTGCCATAATACTCGAATAACGTTAAGTAGCCTATTTCACTTTGTGCATATAAACCTTTCAATCTCTGTGAGTCCTAATAGAGTGAGGGAGGAAAAGAGATCGAGGATCAAGTGATACGGAAAGAGGAAAAATGAGGGAAGAAAAAAGGAAAATACTCCCCCAGGGCACTATCGGTATCACGTACTCTTGTTCCTTCATCGATTACAATGTCTCCATTGAAAGTATTAGAGGTACCTGCTCCAGTGAGAAACAAGTTAACTAGCTCCTGAGAAAGGGAAAGAGAACAAGATAAGCAATCCCATGGAAAAAGAATGCATTTCACATGAGATATTACTTAATAAGGGAAAGAATGTAAATGTAATTTAAAAAGCTAATGATAAAACAATGCACAATCTAACATAAAAAGCTATCATTACCAATTTTTGCCAAACTAGGAAGAACTGTGATATTTTACTATATTTAGTACTATTTCACACAAGTAGAATGATGAACAAGGGCTAAGGTGATAGCTTTATACTCGATAAATCTGCAGCTATTGTATATGTACATGTCCATATAAGGCAATCCACTAATTCTCATTCTCCATTAAATAAACTATTCATTATTATTACTTGAGAGCAATAGCCATGGGCACCAAGCAGTTTAGTATTATTAGCATCATCGAAATCAGTCTTCAATCTAAAAATAGTAACAACATAATATCAACTATGATACAATTCACAATGATAAACAAGAACTATGATATTTCAGAACAGTGACGAAAAAGGATTGTTTTCATAACTCAATAAAAAGCTATGAATACTGTTAGTGCATTGTCTTAACATAATATTATGACTAATCAATGCACATGTCATTCATGCTCTGATCATGCTTCAGTCACAATAAGCCACATGTATACATTACATGTGTCATTGTTTTAAAAATAGATTGGCACCTTTCCACTCCTCTGCTTAATATAACTGAATATAGGAAGAGAATACAGCCAGCATTTTCTTCCTCAGCAGAAATAAACTGCCCAAAATAAAACACAATGATAAGACAAATAACTACTGTAATTACCTGATCAACATACTCGAGCAAGAATAATTGCAACTGATCAAAGTCAAGGAACGAATGTACGACTAGCTATTGAGAGAAAGAGAGGAAGGGAAGGAAGAGACATAAAGGTGAAAGAGAGAAGTTATAATGAAATCACTGACCAGCTCAGTAAGTTGATCTGGATAATATGATCTGCTCCTGACAGTCAGTGATTTAACAGGAGGGGACCATGATCTACTGCATAGGCAGACATATTATCTAATGTACCATACACTTTCATGGGCACACACAGTCACACACACTCACGCAGAGTCACAGATCTGTCTATCTGTTGTCTGTCTCACTGTCTGTCTGTCTCACTCACACTGTCACTGTTGCTTTCTTTCTCTCTCCGGCCTTCCACAGTATCTGAGCAAGGGATTTACAGAGGAGCTCCTTCTGCTCCTTTCTATTAATAAAAGGTCTAAAAAGAAGAGAATACAAGCTTATATACCCGGAAGGACAGGATATGACATTACATTGCATCAGTAGATCCATCAGCACTATTTGCTCCATCAGCAAATAGCATATTCTTTATGATGTATGACTGAACACAAGCTAACACTCCACAAGGGCCACCCTAAGGAGAGAGAAGGTGAGGGAAAGAAGGAGACAGGGAAAGAGAGAAAGAGAATGAGAGATAGGATTGTGAAAGGGCAAAAAAGGGATTTAAATTTATCTGTTATAATAAAATACGAACCTTGTGCTGTACAAGCCCATAACTGAGTGATGGTACTTCTTTATTAAATACAAATCCTTGATTCCTCCATTCGCTGTTAAACGAGTGAGTGGTTGCTGAGCCAAAAACAACCTCCCTTAATTTCTAAAAATATATAAAATGTCCTAAAAAGGTCATGCATGACATGTGTGACGTACATAAGCAATCATATGTTAATTGTATGTACATGTATGTTAATGTTGCTATGTTAATAGGTTTACTATATACACACACATACACTAGAGTAAACAAACACACATGTATATGTACATGTATACACTGGGTGTGTGATATTATAAACAAAGGAAGTTCATTGTGTAGGTCAGGAAACTGTGTATGTATGTGTGTGATACAGGATTTCCCTAATTTCGATCAAATTTGGATTTTTTAATGAATTTTTGAAGTTGCTCCAAATGCCATGTACTGGCTTAATTGTCAGCTCACAAAGCATGCTATTTAGCTCACTTAGAACGCTTTGTGGGAAACCACCCTGGTAATATTATCATACATGTAGACAGTCTAGGAATAACTACTAGCGCATGACAATACTTCCATAGGTAGTGTATATCCCTTGACAGCATGACTTAACATCCACATGATGCCAATTACTGACAATCACATGAACTACTTATATACCATATTATAAGGAGTTCATGTGGGCATCATGTGAGGATGTGACCTTTTACTACATTTTTGACCTTTGAGCTATGGTCTTTCATCAAAAAAGTTGATACCTCAATCTCTTTATTGTACATACATGTACTCAATTTTAATGAGTGATTTTGGACACAAGCTTTTAAGATATAGCACACTAGCTGCAGTTAGCACAACAGTATATTTAAAACCAGTGTATTACGCTCAATTTTGCCAAAAGATTTGAATGCACCAAACATATTTGAAGGCAATTTATCAAATTTTCTAGCTATAATTAAAGTACATGTACACAATGTGCATGTGTACATGTATGTGTGTCACTGACTATAGCAGTATTATAAGATATTTGCTCTCCTTTACTGTTCCTGCTACTGCTGAACAAATGAGAAACCACTTTATCATCTAAAAGAAAGGAACTGTCCTCTTCAATGTCTTCATACAACAGCAGCCCACCATCCTAATAATCAATTGATTATTATTATTAATCATTAATTATTCATGATCAGTTACATTAGTTATCTTGGTACCAATAGATTTACTAGAATCATCTTCACTTTGATACCTAAGACAAAAGAGAAGGAAAAGATGAAAATAATTAATTTTTATGGTTACCTTGTTACTTTCTTAGTACTATCTAACGTTGAAGTGGAGGTGGGTGTGGTTATTCTAGCAGATGTCGTTATAGTGGGTGTGGTTGAGTAAGTGACCGGTTTGCCGTTTGTTTTGTTGATTGTACGGGAGGGACCAGTAATGGGTGTGGTCAGTGTAGTAATGGGTGTGGTTGATGTAGGAGTAGGTGGTGTTCGTACAGACGTGGTTGGAGTAATTGGTGTGGTCGGGTTGGTGGGTGTGGTCAGAGTAGTGGGTGTGGTCTCAAGCTGATTATTAACAATAGCTTCAATGATAGTTCTATAAGGATCTGGCTGTTTCTAAAGGATAAAACAAGACACAATATCACATTTATAAATTATTCATTACGTCTATAGTCTTCAAGATTCTATAGTTATGAATTTTATTTTGGGAAATTATCACTTTCAAAAAAATTTCTGCCATACATATGTACAGTTAGGAGACATCAAAGTTTAAACCACATTATTTTACTTTTGAATTGCATAGTAGATTAATGATTACCTTATTTGACTTCATTATGTTGACCACACCAGCTTCTTTCACCAGAACACTACGGTTACTAATACTGAAAGGAACTATATAACTAATAAGTGGGTGATTCATTACCTCTCTTCTGTTCGTGGTACTTCAGTATCTAGTGCTGATAATGTTGACTTGTAGCCCTACACAATGAAGGAGGGGGTGTGTGTATGCATTTAAAATTATAAATAACTATAATTTTCACTCACTTTCCTACTAAGATATTCTCTAACTAATGCAATACTGACGTCCTCTACTTTTTTCTTTCTTCCTCCATCACTGGTTCTTAAAATGGCCGGATCAACTTTGCCAGAGTGAACACTACTCGACGCCATTTTGAGGAATCTCTATGCTGAATTGCCGATTCGGCAAATAAATTTTAGCTAATTAATATCCTATTGCCATGGCAACCTTAATTACCTTTAATGAATGAACTAAAGTAATTATTACAAGATCCTGTTTCTTTATACTCTCCCTCCCTCCCTCTCTGTAGCCTCTCCATGTTGTCCAATCCTTCTTCTACTCCATCTTTGGCCCGGCCATTGTTTGGTGAGAGGTTAAGGAGAAGGCCCCTAAGGAGGAGAGACGACAGGGGCCCTCCTAGTCTCACAGGACTCGTTGTGATATCACTCTTACTGTTATTCGCCATATTACTACCATCACTACTTCACCAAGAGTCAGAGACTAATGTTAAGGGAATCATAAGTAAACTAATCGAGGAAGGTACAAAAATGATTGTATAATTATTACAAAAATAAAACATGTATATACATTATAATTATTATATATACTATCTGTGATTAAAATTTTATTATAATATTCTTAGATATTCCTTTAATCTTTACGTCGGAAGCTATCAATAATTGCTCTCTCCCATTTTGGGCGGATTATAGAGGTGGGGTCTTTATTTTAGGTAAAAATAATAATAACATATCATACATGTACATACAACTTGATACAAATACGTGTCAACTCTCTCTCTCTCTCTTTCTAGATGTATTCAATGCTTGCTCATTTTCTTTACTAATTGGCGTACTAGTTTCATTATTTACTTATTTCTCTGTCTTTTATGACTCGCATACCCCTGGACTCTATCCCCTCTCACCAATATCTCCCAAAAGGTAGCAGCCTTTCACATTAACACTGCTTATGATCAGTTTATATATTACAGGAGGTTTAAAACAGAGGGAGTGGTGGTCAGAACTGGTTGGTCTATTAGTTACAAGATGGTTCTAGTCAATGGGATTGTCTTCTTCTTTCTCTCCATTTTCTTTTTGAGACAATATCTAAATGTTCCTTTTTGGAATGTTTAGCAATTAAAATAATTATAATAAATCCACCCATTAATAGCAAGGTATTATGATAAATATGAAGACATCATTATTATTATTTTTAAAATGATATAAATTTTATGCATTCAATAATCAGGTTTAATATAATAACAATTATTTTTCTCTCATTTATTATCATCAATAAGTTAATCATTTTTGTGTATTAAAAAAATTTAAATTCAAAGTTGATCAGGAATGAGTGTATCAGTATGAATCAGAGTATGAATCAGAATGAAATTATGAAGTTCCACTAAAATTAATCATGCATTAATGTCGTACCAAAGCCCGGAGGATTTCATTTTATTTATAAAAAATTTCTCAAATTGGTTCGCCATCTTATAAAGCTCAGTGCCTTTCTCATTGTACAGTCGACAGTTGTTGAATATCCACTTCATGTCAGAAATAAACAACCTCAAGCAATTGTAATAGCGAGATGCTAGCCTCTCACTTACAGTATTTAAATCTAAATAATAATAAATAATAAATAATAATAATAATAATAATAATAATAATAATAATAATGGCACACCTTTTAATGCATAAACTAACAAAAACATTCTCTTAAACTAGCAATACTATGACAAAAGAAAAGCAACAACTAAATGTACATGTACACGTACAGTATGTGACTCCAGGTGTACACATAACTATGTGGCCAGGTAATTTTGGAGGAGTGGATTTTTGGCAAATTGCTACATATCTAGAATTCGGGTCTATGCATGCATGTAATTGAGGCGTATTTGACAATAAATAGCTCTCGGATACCCAGTATTGTGGTAGTGTAGTGAGTCAGTGAGTGTGTAGTATGTACATGCACATACATGTGTATGTGATGATGTATTTGTATTGTATTTATAATGCTACAATAATTGTACCCTTAGTACTACACATGTACAATACAAGTATCATACTAGACATGCACTATAGATGTACTTAATCATTTTGAGCTCAATTCACTAGTGCATATGTATACCCTACCCATTGGGAATTTGATAATTGAGTAATAATTAGGAGCTTGGGCCTCGTTTACTGGATCATGGAAAGGACGAGAGATAGGATGATCCTTTGGAGGAAGAGAAAAGAAAAGAGAGGGAGAGAAGGATAATGGAAAGAAGGTAACAGTTAGACAAACTTTTAATTCCGTGAGTACATTAGAGAGAGCTTCACCCAGTCGCTCTATATCAGATTCTAATTCAATCTGATAAGACGTCCTTTGATAAACATGTATTATTTTAATAATATTTATATTACTGATTAATTACTGATTACCTGGGGTCTTCCCCAGATGGTTTCCAGCCAGTCTCAACTAGAGTATATATTAATTAATCGTATAATGATATTCATAGGCTATACTTACGTATTCCTGGAATGTCTTTTAGTTCAAGACGTTTAGCCCCTCCCCTTTCTCTGAAGCAGGACAGGCCAGGATGAACTTTACGAATCTCAGCCTGCTTCCTCTCAATCAACTGATGGACTATCTAATAATAATAATAATAATAATAATAATAATAATAATAATAATAATAATAATAAACAATAAATAAACTAATTACTGTTTTCTGTTTCTTGATGATGTCAGAGAGATGAGTGTAAGGAATTTTAGGATTCAATTCACACTTGAGAGGAGAAGAAGTGTACACTCTTGGTACAGCAAACACGTATACTTACTTCCATTAATAAAGCTCCTTCATAACTTTTAATATAACCAACAAAATGTGGGCGTGGTAACTTTATATCCTTAGAAAACCCCTTGACAAAGAAAATAAAATTGAACACACATACACACTCTCTCTCATTACTTGTTTTTTAAAGTATCCAATAGCTGTTGAGTCGGCATAAGTTAATAAGTGAAGCAAAGAGTGTCTGATACAATAATCCTTTAAATTATTCATCATGTGTGTACCATATCCCTAATTAAAGAGCACGCTGCATCGTCACACGGCAATGGAGTGACATGTAGTATACCTTGAGGTGTTCGTTTGCTGCAACTGCACAGAAGACAATTTCAGCAAATGATTGTTGGACAAACGGTCTGAAACAGATTCCCCCAATGACACGCTTCTCCTTCATTAAAGCAAGAGAGTAATGCTTCCTAAAAGTAAAAACAATTATATATTTATTCCACTTCAATTCTATCTTACGTATCAAACACTATTCTAGTTATATAGTCCACTGGCATTCTCGGCAGTTGGCGTGAGAACATTTGCTTTAATTCGAGTAGCCAGATGAGGTGATCATCGTGAGGCTTGACTTTGATTGAGTTGTGCAATAACTGGAAACAAATGATACCATTTCTCTCCTCGTGTTTCGCAGTGTGGTCACGTGAAACTTGTTCGTCAAAGAAACCAGTCTACATGTACATGTACACCATGTACATGTATACGAGAGAAGAGAGAGAAAGCGGAAAAGGGAGAGAGAGGAGGAGGAGGTAGTGAAGAGGATAGAGAACAGGTGTTGGGTTACCTCTGGTCCCAGCATTGCTCTAGGGTCGGTTACTGTCTGGAGGATGTCACTAGCAACTTGGAATGAATCCTGACCTACATGTACACATGTAATAGCACACATATCTCCCCAGGGATTTGGGATAGTGCTCATACAGCTTCTTGTCAGTGGATTGCCAATTTGCTCAAAATTGGGCCAAAGACTCTGTACTATAATAGTACAAGGCATTTTGGAAAAAATCACAAGGAGAGAATTCTCCATTTTTATAATTTTTTCTGATACATTATACATGTTTTTATGTCGTGTAGCAAGTTTGAGCTGATTCCGATACAATTTGAATTTTTTGTGAATTTTTAAACTTGCTCCAAAATCGAGCCAAAGTCCCTGTACTATAGTACAGGGACTTTGGCCAAATTTCACCAAAAATGAAAAGTATAGAATTCTCCATTTTTATAATTTTTTCTGATACATATACATGTTCTTATGTTGTGTAGCAAGTTTGAGCTCATTCCAATGAAATTTAGATTTTTTATGAATTTTTAAAGTTGATTCAAATGTATTATGTAGTATGTAGCAAGAGTTGATGATGACTATTACTCATCATGGATTGCAGATTGTAGCTATATGAAGCTCATGCTGTTTAGCTCACTTAGCATGCTTTGTGGGAAACCCTCCACCTCCCTCTCTCCCTTACCTTCAATCTTTGGTCTCTTGGGCATAGGTCCAACGTCCAATGAAGAAGTATCGTAGTTTGGTTGACTCCGCCCACCTTTACTTTGATGTGGCGAAATATGAAAGGGAGAGTCAGCAGCTTCTCCAGACATGGAAATCTTAAAGAGAAGCAGAGACAAAATTAATATTTCTAAAATTTCAAAATGTCTACATGCATCATTATTTTGTTACTTGAGGAGAAGTAAAGTGTGCCTGACCCGGTGATGGCATTACATTAACAGAAGCAGGAGATGGTATGACATAACTAGCTCTAAAGGAGCTGGGATTGGGATAATCTGGAGAAGAGGGACAGAGAGAATTTAACATAACATTATAGCTTCTGTCTTCTTAATTTTTCAGCCAAAAAAGTGTCAACCATAACAATCACAATTTTTTTCATTTTGTAATAGGTGTACATGTACACAATTTTTCCACACACAAAAACCACAAATAAGCCAATTTTAATACACTCCTGTACTACATGTACAATATGATCCATTAGAGGATTCACCTCTTGTTCCCACGGATCCAGGACCCACTGAAGCAGGTCCAACGGATAGCGGTCCTGCTAGGCCAGCAGCTGATGATGGACTAGGAGCAAATGATGAGCCAGCAGGAGAAGGAGCAGCAACAACGTCACCACCGGTAGTGAAGTCTTCACGCCATATTGGAGAAGAGGTACTGAATATCTCTGCTTCTAATATATTAAGAAAACTGAGAGAGAGAGAGAGAGAAGGGAAGGAAAAAAGAGACAAAGATACATGTACATGTATAGCAAATTTCAAACATTCTTACCGTGGGAAATGGTTAAGTATTAAGTTTCTTTTTTCTGGTATCATCTTTTCTTGTTCTGATGTGAATCGCTCCATTAGTTGGCGTCTAAGAACCAAAAAGACCGAGCTGAGGAGAGTACGACCAAAAGCATGCGTCGTGTCAAACTTCTGCAAACTCTCACAAAAAACTGGCACATGACAAAAACATATCCACCTGCAAATTATCAAGAGGTTTAGACATAAATTTAAGCATCTCTTACCTAGTATAATTCTCTTTGTAAACTTTGTGATCGTCAGTTGCTGATGAATGAGCATGGTTAGTAGGCGTCTCCAACTTCCAGTGGTTAAAACAATAGAGAAACATCTTAGCTAAGTCGTACATCATTTGCCACTCAGCTTGAGGAAGATTGTTAAACTTATAAGCAACAAAATTAGTAATAGCCTAAAAGAGAGAGAGAGAGAGAAGAGAGAGAGAGAGAGGTTATGATATAATAAATAACATAAAATAAAAATAATAATAGAGAATAAATACAGCAAATACATGTACATTTGTATGTTGTACATGTATATGTATATTTTAAAATACTTTAGTAATGGTTGGTCTTTCAAAAGGTGGCGTCCCTATCTTATCATGGACCAATGGAGGAATCCTAGGCTGTAGCATGTTCTTCTTCAAGAAATGAAACAATAGATTGTAATTCTTCCTCAGGTCAATGTCTTCCCTCTCGCTACGAGCCTGTAGCGATATATTGTCCATGTCAAAGACGACCATTAATATTCGATCCAACTGCTCGTCGCTCTGCTCTTTAATTGGAATACAGTGATTCTCCAGAGGATGTCTACAGGAACGACATGTGTCTGAGAGTCGGAGGGTCTCTTGTGATGCTGGCGGACGCCAACCTTGACAAGAACAGGCACCATACTAAAGAGAGAGAGAGAGAAATGAAGAGAGTGTATAATTATTAAAATTAGATTCTGTTTTTAATATGATTTTATTTAATTAATTACCTGACAGGAAAGGTACATGCTTATTCTCTCGATCTTCTTCACACGAGGCAACTGCTTGACGTGCTCTTTCTTTTGGGCAATTTTTTGAAGAGCAGAGCCTCCCCTACGAGGCAATCCTTTACTGGAAGACGCCATGACAGTTTTATACTGCGCATGCGTATAGACTAATTAATATTCATTGTGGTCTTGTGGGCGTGGTCGAGAAAAATTAATTGATCTTGTACATACAGTCTAGTCTACAGAATTTGCTGACGCTGAGGTAGAGTTTCTGGTGCAATCGACTTTGTATATAAACTTCCTTTCTGGTCGTACTCTCGTCTGCAAAGGAGGGAAGAAGCACTATTAACTCTACCAGTCGCCAGTCTTCTCTTCGGCTCCATAACGGGTAACCTTATCAATAGAAAAAGGTAAATGAGAGCTTCCATTTATTAATTATTATTGTACTGTTTTTTTTTTATCATTGTGCCATTATAAAATTTGTGATATTTACTCCTAATTTAATGTGTTGTTCTGATTCGAATAAATAACATGTTTACTCGGTTATTATTGTCGTCCCATTTACTATACTAATTAAACTTTGGACTTTCTCTTTCAATGTTTATCCTAAAATCTTCAGATCAAAGCCGCAAAATCTTTCGCTTATGTCAAAGTACGAGAGAGACCCAGAGTTCAAGAAAACCTCCATTTTAGACGATTATGAGATAAAGTGGAACCGCAGTTTAGGTACTGGAGTGAGCGGTCCAGTCCGCCTCTGTATACACCGGGCAACTGGTAAAGAATACGCTCTTAAGCTGCTCTTGGATCGTAGCGACAGAAAGAAGGCAGAGATTGAAGCCACACTTCATTGGTAAGAGTTATGCTATGAGCATTGTTTTGCATGAATTTTTTGGCACTCATGCATGAGGCCATTAATTTTAAATAAAATGAATTAAATTGTATTAATTTTACTTAATTTGAATGGTCCATTAGAAAGGGAGGAAACTGAACATGCATACACATAATGGTTCAAAATGTTAGTCAATTGGAATTAATTTTATTAATGTTTTCGACACATATACATGTTCTTATGTTATGTAGCAAGTTTGAACTAATTCCGATCAAATTTAAGTTTTTTTTACGAATTTTTAAAGTTACTCAAAAATGAACAATGTTGTATTTCATAAATATTAATGATAATTATTTTTAAATTTATTTTTGTCCTGAACAGGCGCTGTAGTGGAGGTGATCATATCGTCAGAATAGTTGATATATATCGCAATGAGATCCAACAGCCTGGCGAACTGAGCCCAAAGAAAAGGATACTACTAGTGATGGAATTGATGGAGGGTAAAGAACTCTTTGATTATATCTCAAAGCGTCATCATTTCACCGAGCACGAGGCCAGCAAGTACATATTACAGATCGTTAGAGGAGTCCAGTTCTGTCATCGTCTAAACATTGCTCATCGGGACATCAAACCAGAGAATTTACTCTTATTAAAGCCCGCGTCAAACCCTGAGGATGTCGTCATCAAATTATCCGATTTCGGTTTCGCAAAAGTTGACAACGGAGACCTAAAGACGCCTCAGTTCACTCCTTATTACGTTGCCCCTCAAGTCCTTGAGGCCCAGAAGAGACAGAAAGAGTCATTGTCTGGTTATAAGCACCGAACTCCTTACTATTACGACAAGAGCTGTGACATCTGGTCCATTGGCGTCATCATGTACATTATGCTTTGCGGCTATCCTCCATTCTATTCTGAAGTGCCACATCAGGCACTAAGCAATCGCATGAAGCAGAAGATAATGAGTGCTGATTTCGATTTTCCGGAGAATGACTGGAAGGCGGTGACTGATGAAGCTAAGGATTTGATTCGGAAGATGTTGTGTGTGGAACCGAGCGAGAGACTCTCCATTGAAGAAGTCCTTCATCATCCTTGGCTAGCTCAGAATGCCTCGCCTAATCGTGATCTTAATTCTCCTTATCTCATATCGGATAAAGACGCTCTTGTTGAAGTCCAGGGAGCTCACGCTAAACTCCTCCAAAACTTCCGTCGGGATGACACTGGGTTTTACTTGAAACCTCTCGGGCAGGCAAAGAACCCCGTCCTAGCATCGCGCATGAAGAAACAAGAAGAGAAGAAGGAGTCTGGAGGAGCTGGCAATGAGAGTGAGCCCTCTTCCTCTAAAGCTGTTCAGAGCCTTAAATCATTAATGGATGTATGTAACATGCCTCCTCCTCCTCCTTCCCTTTCTTCTGAAAGCTCTCTGTCTTCATCTTTTCTAAGTGAGAGTGTTAAGAATGCATTGGTTCTCAATGAGCACAATGCCTCTTTATTGAAAGCACTGGAGCAAGAGTCTTGGAATGGAAATGAGTTCATTCATCAGGTCAATTGTAAGCGTTTGGCCTCTTCTCTTCAAGAGCTCATAGAGCAGCTCGAACCGTAGAACTAATGTGATTTGGGACCTTATTTAATTAAAGTTCTTTTTAGTGTCATAATTAATTCAGTTGATTTTTATGATTATGATATGGGATAGGTCATGAATCCTATTATATAAGACTGGGCAGCCACGCCCTTATTGAATTTTCCCTCCCACGCATTGTTACAGTTGAAGTAAGCAAATCACTGTCTTTTTCCTCTCATTTTGGCAGAGCAAGCAGACAGAGTTGGTTCCGCTGATATTAAAAGGCTTTTAGGGGAGTTTTGTGATACTATAAAGAGTTGTCTTGTCAAGAAAAAATATCGCCAAGCCAGAAGCGTGATCCGAAAAGGTAAAAATAACACTACACAGACTTTGAGCCTCATTAGCTCTTGGGTTATATTTATAATCATGTATATACGTCTATAAGCTGTATATTTTGCTCTTCTGTAAGCTTCTCTCTGCATGAGCTGTACGGGGAGCAGCCCTCCCTGTAGCTTAACATGACAGGTACACATCCTTTGTGATTAGAAAGATGTCACTCTAAACTTGGAGGAGTAACTATGTGGTATATATTCATTGCCAGTATTCCCACCATCAGTATGCACTGTTGTAACTCTATATGACAACAGTTACAGTAAATTGATGAGCTTTCCCTTCCAATGGTGCATAGTGAAGGCGGTTTGGATGTCATCTATGGAATGTCCAGGTGTTATCGTTATTAGTGGGCTTGTTTCAAATAATGAGAATTGTAAAAGAGACAAGTGTCTGTTACATTGTACTAACATCACTCGCTCCCTCTGCCTCTGGCTGCCAAATAATTCAGATAAGAAATTTTGGTGTGGTAAAATAAAAACCACAAATATTTGGTGTGCCTCAATGTTTTTTTAACAAACAATGTACACACTGACAGATACTCCTTCCTCTTTGGCAACATATTTTGTGTGTGTGTGTGTGTGTTTTTTGAATGCCTGAAACCAATAATAACAGATTGCGCATAATTGAAATTCTTTATACCATTCCATCAGCCTAGCCTCACTGGTGTTACTATAGCCATAAAAAATACAATTATATCACACAGACACATTATTCCTATTTCTTCCACCCTTTCTCTCTCCTCTCTCTCTTTCTCTTTCTCTCTCTTCTTTATCTTTATTTCAGGTTATGCCAGAGTTTCGCTTAAGACGAGCTAAGAAGGAAAAAGGAGGAGGACAGAGGAGGCGTCACACCCTTCACACTGACTCTGAGATGAGCCAGCAGCTGGAAGAGGCAGCTAAGATATTCAATGAACAGACTAAGATTATCCTCGGCCCAAATGAAATAGTAAGAGAAAAAGAATAGATTAAATACTTTTATTGTGTTGCAATATCGAATGGCAATATTACTTAATGTGTTGATCCAAGAACATAGCTACAGTGTAAACATGTTGCCTTATAGAGCAAGGCAGTGTAAATATGCTATAAACAAATGAACATTTCATGCTAGCAATGATCTTATACACACCCTGAAATAAGGACACCTCTACAATGAATTTTCTAATCAGTACTAACCAGGACTCCATAGTTATACTTATATCAAGAGCACATAATGTACTCTTGCTTATATAAAAGCACCTTTATCATGTTGTCCTTAATAAAGAGGTTATGTTTTATTTGTACATAGTCTTTGGATGATGCTATACAAGGGATGAGAGTTGGAGTGAGAGATGGTCCCAAGCCTCCTGATGTATTCATAAACAGTACAAGCTCTTCAGAGCCTCCAGTAAAGGCAGTCACTAATCGACGCATCTCTTCAAAATACAGCGGTAAGGATACATAGCAGATCATTATCAGTGGGATGCATGTACGTGTATGTAAACATTCTTTGTTGATCATTCCAATGGTAGCACATATTGGTACACTCTTTCGTTATAACACTACACATTGTCAAGCATACAGTTCATATATTTATATTTACATTTTTACTTTTGCATGCTAATAATGCATGTGTACTTAAGTCAGGCATGATTTAATATGTATAATTCAATAATAATAATGCAATCATTTTATATCACTGGATATAGCATAATATTATCAACAATCATTTTAAATGTTTTATTTTCCTTCCGTTAGAATGTATCTATCTTCGTTATGGTGCAGACATGCGTAGGTGTCCGTTGCCTTCTCCTATTACTCTCAGTACTATAAAGCAGCTCTTCATTAATCTATTCGATTTGAGTCCTTCCGTCAATAAAGATCCAAAATGGCATTTGTTTTTACTTAATAGATCAAACACGTGGAAACCTCTCACCAATGTCAGGTGAGAAAATGGATTTTGTTATTATTATCATTAATTGAATATTAATCCTGTTAAATGTAATTGTGGCTTCATATCAAGACAATACAATTCTTATTTACGGGGCATTGACCAAAGGATAATGATATCACTGCCAGTCATAGTAAAGAGAGAATTGGGTAAACATGTGTCAGACATTGCTGGCATGACTTGTTATTCATCTGTTACTATCTTCTACCTTTCTGTCCCCCCCCCCTCTCTCTCTTTCTTTCTTAGTAATGTTTCTGATCAATCTACAATACTTCTGGTCGATTCCTCTGATCTAGAGACTGGCCCGTTGCTAAATTCCACTCCACCGTTAGTCCATCGTAGCTCAACTGGTACACCGGACGCTGATTTGTCTTCAGATGACGAGAGAGAGGACCTAAACATTTCACTACAGAACCCAATGTATGTCTGTTTTAAAGTCACACACACAATATATATATATACAATATTTATTTTTTTATTCAATGCAGTTCTAGCCTATCCCAAGCACATAGCAATGTTCCAGGAGTTGAGAATCTCTCGTCAGCTATTTATTTAAATGGCCCAACCAATGATACACATGTTAATGAGACTGATGGCCTAGCTACTACTCAAACGAGAGATGTAGATGTGATCCTTCCTCCTCCTATTATTCCAATTGATGAGCCAGTAACTATCAGTGGCCTTCAGAAAGAGATATCCTTCCTTAAGAGAAAGCACCAGTTGGAGATACAAGAATTACGTACTGAACTGACACTGGCTAGACTATCAGCTGCTCAAGGTTAGTTTAAAAGAGGAAGGGAAGAGGAGAACAGACATTACATTATTAATATTTTTGTGTGTCTTTACTACCTTATTATTATTATTATTAATTACAGGTAGCACTGCTAATAATTTTTCGGTTGAGTTGAGTCAGTTTCGTAAAGACAGACTCATCGTTGAGCCATTGAAAGAGGACTACCTTAAAGAATCTGATTCTGCACTGAGTGAAATGAGGTATGTACATGCACATACAGTGATAATAATGATTCTCACTCACTCTCCCTTACTCTCTCTCTCTCTAGTCTATTGCAGAGTATAGGTGATTCCCTTAAGTCTGATGCTATTCATCACCAGTCAAGGATTGATACTGATGAGGTTAACTACCTCCTCAGTCTGACAGAAGAGTCAGCAGAAAGATTTGAAAATCTTAAAGGTACTATTCAATCTGCTGATTCAGTTTGCTTTAGAGTCAATTTTTGAAATTCCCAATTTTAAATTTATTCTTTAATTCTTAGGTCAGTATAATGTATTAGAACCAAAACTAAAAGCAGTGATGCAAAAAGAACTTGAAGTTATTGTTGCTGAAGAACAGTAAGCGGAAGAATCATTTATAAATTAATAGTTATACAACCACTTCCTTTGCTGAAGGATCATGAAGGAAGAGGCCAAGAAATTAGCAGCTGCTACAGAAGCTTGTAAAATTCTGAAAGAAACTTTCACTACATTGCAACAGTGAGGGCTTTTGAATAATACTAATATATAGTGCTATGATAATACTTTTTGATATTATTATTTCTTGCACTGTAGATTGTCAGGCCTGCAAGCTCAGAGGCCGCTACAAGTACCAGTGATAGTGACATCCTCAGATCCAAAGGTTGATCATTCCTCACTGATTGCTATCATTAATAGTGTAATACCAAACCATCAAGAGAGACTGGAGGCTATCAAAGAGACAGAAATGATCATGAGGAAAAGAAAGATGGATCTGAGCCCGACGAAACGAGCCCTGAAGAAGTTCGAGTTGTCTCTCCGTCAACGACAGAAGGTTCTTAATCCAACCGGTCGAGTAGTAGTACTGGAGAAAGAAAGAGAAGAGAAACTACGAAGCTTGTACATAGCAGAGAAGCAGGAGAGACAAAGAGAGATAGAGAGGGACTTGGAGATTGCTCAGAAAGCTTTGAAGGAGAAGAGAAAGAAAGAGATAGCAGAGATTGAGCAGAGGCTAGGCATCGACTTCAAAATAAGTCACAAGAATGAAGAGAGAGAGGGAGGGAATCGAAGAACCAGCATTGAAGTCGATCAAGAAAAGAGACTAGAAGAAGAAAAGAAGAGAATAGAAGAAGAGAGGAAGCGTTTGAGTAACATTGAGCTCCAGAGACTAAGGGAAGAGAAGAAACGCTTGGAAAACGAGAAGAGAAGCCAAGAAGAGGAAAGAGAGAGATTGGACCAACTGAGAAGAGAGCAAGAGGAACAGCAAAGGAGACTGAGAGAAGAACAAAGGAGACAAGAGGACGAGCAGCGTAGGATAGAGCTACAGCGTTTCCAACAAGAGCAAGAGAGAAGACAAATAGAAGAGGACAAGCGACACTGGAAGGACTATCAGGGACGCTTAGGGAGTGAGAGCCCAGAGACAAGAAATAAACGAAAAGAAATGCTATGGCAGCATGTGCAGAGACAAATCCAACTTGAAGAGGAGAAAGAGAAAAGTGACTTGGTAATGAAACGCAAAGCTCACACACTCAAAAATAACTACTCGTCACAGCCCGAGTCTTCCTACAATAATCACAGTCACAGCCATAGTCTGGGTCATTTCAATGAGGTTGATAATATCGAGACACTGCCTTTAGCAATACCACCTGTGAGCCTCACCTCTCGCTCTCACAAAGACCTCAGACACAACAGGACTGATGACGAGCCTGGATCCGGTGAGCTAATGCGGAAACACATGAGTGGGAGTGGAGGCACTCAACAACCTAATGGCCTCATACAGAGAGGAGGAGCTTTAGGAGGATTGGTTCATGATGACTTAATGCCGAAATTCTCGTCCGAAGACAGCCTCATTAAACAGAATTTATATGACTCGCCTTGGACGAGTAAGAAGCTGTTCCTACAGTCTCAAGGAGGAGGTGTGTCTAACAGACGCGGGTCTGCAAGTCAAGTTCATCACAAAAGGAATAAGTCTGATTTTAACGAGACTCCACCAATCGCCCCAAAGCAGAGTCAGAGGGATGACCGCTCCTCTCCTATTCTTATCCACCCGTTGAGGACTACCATTGGGAAAAGTAAATCTAACGACTTTGGCTGCTCTCCGTCAATTCAAAGAAGCAGCAATAGCAAGTCAGACCACGACTTGCAAGAAACAAGCAAACTAACTAATCATCACTCACCGCCCCCTCTCCCTCCTCCTCCAGTTTCCTATGCCAGCCCTACTAACCCTCAGCTACCATCATTCACTGCTGTTGCTCCTCCTCCTTATTCTCAAGTAGCTATTCCACCTCCATCTATTGCTACTGCTGGTAGCTTCGATTATAAAAAAGGAGGTCTTTTGTCTGAGAGGATGACGCATTATCCAATGATGCCTAGCGGACAGCAGCAGGACTCCATGCTGAGTAAATTCAAGCCATCAATATCTCTAGTATAACCCGTAATGATTATTAATTCTCAATACTTTATTTTAATGATGTGTCTTTCAGTTTCAGTTTCAGTTATTACATGTATATTGTTAGTATTATATAAATCACTTGATATTACATACTAATAATAAAAAGTATTTCTATCGAATTTCAGTTATTCTACATGTGCATGTACACAAACATAACGAATACACAAGCATTAATTTTTACTATTTTCGCTACATTCAGCTAAAATAGGGTCCCACAAGCATCAGACATTTTTGAGTAACTTTAAAATTTAGTAAAATTTCAATTAACTTGAACTTGCTACACAACATAAGAAAATGTAATTTTTCCCCAAGACATTTGCCAGAAAAAAATTTTTTTTGAGGAAATTTGCCAGGATATTTTATAATTAAATTTTTCCCAGGAAAAATTATTTTTTATAGAAAAATATTAAATTTAATTTATTTCCCGGGAAAATTTTTTTTTGGAGGGAAATATTTAATTTAATTTTTTTCTGGAAATTTGCCAGGAAAATAAAATTTAAAGTCGATCCACAAGAACTTTGGCCCAGTTTTTGAGTAACTTTAAAAATTTGTAAAAAAATTCAATTTTGATTAGAATCAGTTGAAATTTGCTACACAACATACATGTAATAGCATGCATATATATCAGAGAGCATTATAAAAGTGCAGAAATCTCTAAGCAAAACTGATTTGGCCACTACAGTGTAATAGTGTATACAGGGACTCTGCCCTGATTTTAAAAATAATTTTGATCCACTGACAAAATAAGCGCTATGACAAAATCCTTTGAGAAACCCTGAGCTCAAATAATTATTAAAAGAATAGAGATACACACAAAACAAGCATGAGTGTATATCACTATAGTTGAAGTGTCAAATACAGTGTGTTGATCGATGTTCATGTGTTAGCAGCATAGCGTTTCTTTCCTCTTTCATTGATTATGCAAACATGCTGTGAAAGGGAAAAGAAGAGGAAGCACAATCATCTCATTTTAAAAATTATCGACTTACATTAAGATCCCTAAAATACTCATTGTAATCCTACGTGTAAGTATAAAAGAAAAATACATAAGGAAAAGATGAAATAGGTAACAGCTGCTTGCTTACCAATGCATATCCAACCACAAATGCATCAGGGATCTCAAAACCAGTATCTAAAATAAAATACAAACAATAATAACGTAAATACAAGTAATTGATGAGCGTACAGTTAGGTCTGTATCCATTACTTCTCTTTGTTCTCTTTAATAACAAACTAAACAGATGGAGGAGGATGAGGGTGTATGTGTAAGACACCAGTGATTGTGTTACAAAGGGTGTAACTGGCTATCAATTCCCTCCACATGTACAGCATATGCTCCATCCAATAATAATAATAATAATAAATTGTCTACCAGCTCCTCTTAGTAAAAGGAGTCAACAATAGTGCAGACATGGGTGTGAATTAGTTTTGGATAAAAGCTAGCTGCTGTTATTGGTCAAAGATTGCTGTGTGTAACCAAGTGACAGTAAGCAAATGATAAAGTCTGAACTCATTCAAAAACAATAATTACTCAATAAGCAGCTTAAACCACATGCTGCAGCTGGCAGAGGATCAAAAACTCATCGTTCTAAGCATAAGTTGGTAGTTAGGGTGACATACTCAATGAAAATGTTATGTCTGACGCTAATAACAATAAAGACACGCCTACCTACCTAGCAACCATCACTTGCTTCGGTTCGAATTTCTTAATCGTCTCCAATAATTTGACCATTGTATTGCCTGTGTCAATAATATCCTACAAAAAATAGCACACGTTAACAATAACATTAGCACATTCTCTACACAAAAACAACTCACCTCAACTATCAAGATGCTCTTAAGAGATGAGAGAAAAAAGAAAATAATAATAAAAATGTAAATTGAGAGCTGTTATTATCTCAAAGACACACCTTTCCTTTCAAAGAGGCCAGATTATCACTGCCCATAATGTTCACAACGCCAGTTGACTGGTCATTCTAATTATAATCATTATTTAAATTTATCATAATGTATAATGCTGCACATACCATGTAGCTCTTTACTTTAATGAAATCCACTTGCATCTGGAAAGACTTCTCTGGAGAGAGAAAGAGCAGGTGAGAAAATAAAATGTGGAAGTGAAGAATTTTAATTAAATATGGCGTTTGTTAGTTACCACTTGTTGCATTATGATTTTTTATACAGTCAAGCAGATCAGTAAAAAACTGATAGCCACCTTTCAATACACAGAGAGCAACAAGTGGGCTGCTTATGTCGTGACAAATGTCTTCAGCCAAACGCTGGACCCTTGACAAAGCAATATTAAAATTAAACAGCACAACTCCTTTACCTGTCAAGGATGAGTCCTTTAGGTAATAGAACGCATTTAAGGTCGTCGTAGTAATGAGCAGGGACACAGAAGTCGTCTAAACTGTAGCTCGTGTAGTCATCAGGTATCTGCTGAGAAATAGGAAAGGAAAACCTTGGTATGGGTTCCTACCACTATCGAGGTTGTTCTCGACTGTGGGGATTTGCTTCTCTTCTCATCAGTCTTGTTTTCATCGTCTGCCATCATCTTTAACAAAAGTTTATAAAAAGAACCCTGATATAATATTATTTAAAAAGCTCTCACTATCTATGCTCAGAGTCATATAAAGGGAATTTTATATAGACACAGTGAGTTTAGACAGCATGCATGATGCTAACACGTGAATGGTGCAAGAAGTCTCCAATACCGGAAGTGAATAAAGGAACCCTCTCTATGTTACCTAAATTGCTTACTCTGCAGCCATTAACATGTAAAGTTATCTTGCTTACAGTTAGAAGCAGTCACTGAACGAAGAAGGATGTCATCTGCTTTGTTAACCTAGGCTAACTGCTAGAGAAGTTTGCTGCAAGTAAGCTCAGACTTGCTACGCCCGCCATTTTATTCATTGTGACCACACCTACTTTTAATGAAGAAATTAAAAGTAGCGCGGACTTAAAGTTAGCGATTTTTAACCGCTAAAATTCGCTGAATTAAATACCTTAAGCCTACTATTATTTGCGTCTACTAATTTTAGCGAAATCAGCAAAATTCATGTTTAGCGTTACTAATTTTAACCTTTTTTACTCAAATTAACTATCAATAATAACTATTGTAATGAATTATAATTATTTTGGCATCTATTTAATTTAGCGATTTAAAGCTCACTTGCTAATATAGCTAAATTTAGTAGACGCTAAAAATAGTAGGCTTAAGGTACCCGCAAACAATTGTCTCCTTAAGGTACCTTAAGTTTTTTTAAATTTATCTTAAACATTGAAGATTTTTAACAGTCAGTATAATAATAGTAATAATAATAACAACATGATATAGTTTAGATTCTCGTCAATGTTTCAGCTGCAAATCTTTCACAATACTAGCAGAAAAAAATTAAAATGACGACAATAAAGCAATCACTATAACTCATCATACTTTCTCTTCTGGAAGGCATGGGCCAAATGCTTCAATAAGCAATCTCTCAGCCTCTACTGTTGTCTTGAAGTCTTGCAAAGAGACTTTAGAATCATTATCATGATCCTACAACATCAAGTAATAGAGTACATATTAGATGTTCAACTACCATTTTCTTCATGAGAATCTCAATGAGCTCCTTTATACCTTCTTCAGGGTCTTCTTCAGTTGGTTGCTAATAATATTAATTATTATTTTTTATCAGAGGCACTATTATCATTACCTTAATAAGAGTGTTCTTTAACATGTGGAACATCTCTTCACGTGTAATGTAGCCATCACTATTTAAATCATAAATTGAAAAACAATCTAAAGAAAAGCAATGTACATTTTTTCTATAACGTAAAGGATTGGCTTACATTCAATCTTTTCAGCTAGTGTTCCCCTCAGAAACATGGACAAACCTTTAACCCATTCCTCTTGATTCAAAAAACCATCAGAATCTTTATCAAACGCCTTAAAGACTATGGAATAGTAATTACATTTAACACGTTACTATACATAATCAATTTTTAAAAAAACATGCAAGGCAACTAAAAATAACATCAATATGTATGTAAGACCTTTGTCCATGAAATAGTCATCAGTCATTCCAAACCAATCATGCAGTAAGTCACAGAAAAGGACTCTGTCAATCTTATCACTCGTGAGCCCATGGTAACGATACAGTAAAAGCAATGTCTCATCTTGAGTAACTATGAAAATATTTAAACTCAAAATATCAAATTAATTTTTGTTACAGTGAGATAACTTGTATAGACACTCAGACTGCTTAACGAGCTTCTTTCTTTCAATTGCATTCAGTTCTGGAATGGTCGCCATTTTGTTTTCTCATATCCGTTGCCAAGCCAACAATCACGTGACTCTATAATTAAATTATTAATTAAGTTAATTAACAACACGTGGAGGGACTGGTCAAGTGGTCATGGCTGAAGCTTCTGTTCCTAGAGGAGAAGAAGGCCCAGAAGAGGAGGGAGAGACTGTAGAAACAACCTCACCGAACGATAAAAAGAAAAGAAAGAAGAAAGACAAGAAAGGTTTCAAACATTTTCCATCTTTTTAAAATCAATTAAGTAGGAGGGGCCAGGGGGGCGGAGTCTAGTGCTCTTCCAAAAAGTGTCATTGATGAGAGTCAGATCCTAACAACACGCAAACTCCAGGAAATTATAACAAACCTATCGATACAAGAGCAACCGAGGGGACATGAGTTCTGGGACACTCAACCAGTTCCTAAATTTGGTAAAATTAATAATAAATATTATTACATAGATCTAATTAATATTGAGGTTTTGGTGGGCTGGGTCACAAGAACAATGTACATTATAGTATAAATTAGCTTTTTATTGATCTCTTTCTTTCCTTCCTCCTTTCTCTCTTTATAGATGAGACAGTGACTGATGCTGGTCCTATTGAACAAGATAAAGAGCACGTGAGATCAGAACCGTTCACACTCCCGGACAAATTTTACTGGGACAACGTGGACCTCACAGATGACGCTCAAGTAATTACTTTCATTAAATTAATTTGATAATTAACTACTCGTGATTATTGCTTAAAATGATATTATAATGCTATTATTAATAATTTTAAGTGATCAATTTTTAAAATTAACCAATCACTCTTTTAGCTAACAGAGCTGTACAAGCTATTAAATGAGAATTATGTCGAAGATGATGACAATATGTTTCGGTTTGATTATTCTTGCGAGTTCCTACGTTGGGCCCTACAGCCTCCTGGTTGGTTACCGCAGTGGCACTGTGGCGTTAGAGTAGAGGGGAACAAGAAACTGGTTGGATTTATAAGCGCCATCCCTGCTACTGTTAGAATCAGAGACCAGTAAGTTGAAAAATTTCATGGGCAAGTCGTAAAAATTTAATGCCTTCATGAAAATTTTAATCTTGCTATTATTATTATTATTATTATTATATTGAGTTTGAAAACACTATCTGTCACTTCTTTTTTTTAGTACTCAGGTTTTAGTTGAAATCAATTTTCTTTGCGTTCACAAGAGATTGAGGTCAAAGAGAGTTGCGCCTGTCCTTATTAAAGAGATTACTAGACGTGTGAACTTTGAGGGCATATTCCAAGCAGTTTATACTGCTGGAATATTGCTCCCTAAACCAGTGGCTGTCTGCAGGTTTGTTTGAGAGGGAGGGAGGGAGAGCAAGTAGGAGAATCAGCATTAATGGATGTTAAATACCAGCCAACTTGGGGTTTCCCAAGTGGCATAGTACTCATACAGTGTATTTTGGCAAAAATCATGAAGAGAGAAATCTCTTTTTAAATAATATTTTCTGATGCATGTACATGTTCTTATGTCGCAAATCAACTTTGAGCTGATTCCGATCAAATTTGGATTTTATATGAATTTTTAAAGTTTCCTAAAAATTGAGCCAAAATCCCTGTACTATAGTACAGGGTCTTCGGCCAAATTTTGCCAAAAATGACTAGGAGAGAATTCTCCATTTTTATAATTCTTTCTGATACATATATATGTCCTTATGCTGTGTATCAACTTTGAGCTGATTCCAGTCAAATTTGAATTTTTTATGAATTTTTAAAGTTTCTTAAAAATTGAGCCGAAGTCCCTGTACTATAGTACAGGGTCTTCAGTCAAATTTTGCCAAAAATGACTAGGAGAGAATTCTCCATTTTTATAATTTTTTCTGATACATATACATGTCTTTATGCTGTGTATCAACTTTGAGCTGATTCCAATCAAATTTGGATTTTTTATGAATTTTTTAAAGTTTCTTAAAAAATCAAGCCAAAGTCCCTGTACTATAGTACAGGGTCTTCGGCCAAATCTTGCCAAAAATGACTAGGAGAGAATTTTCCATTTTTATAATTTTTTCTGATACATATATATGTCTTTATGCTGTGTATCAACTTTGAGCTGATTCCAATCAAATTTGTATTTTTTATGAATTTTAAAAGTTACTCCAATCGTCATGTACTGTATTATATGCTTGACTGCCTGTCAGCTCACGAAGCAAGATTTGTGGGAATCCCTGAACCAACTCAAAATACTATGTAATTTCTTTTCCTTTTTTTGTAAAGGTACTGGCATCGCAGCATAAATCCAAAGAAATTGGTAGAGGTACAGTTCTCTTCCCTTCACAGACGAATGACATTACAAAGGATGTTGAGATTATACAGACTACCAGATGTAAGACTAAGAGAGAGAGAGAGAGAGAGGAGAGAAGGAAAGATAAGGACAAGTGTGTGTGGTATCAGTTTACTACTGATTGCTAGTGTGATATAGTAATCGATCATGCATAGTAGTAACGTGACTTGACTTGGCATTAATGTCAACCTTCCTGTCTCTTTGATATTTCTTCATCTTCTCACAGGAGACTAAGACTCCTGGTTTGAGACTGATGGAGCCTCGTGATGTCCCAGCTGTACACAGACTCTTTGGACAAGTAGGTCACTTTCTGATTATTAGTATACCCTCTCTCATCTTATCTTATACTCTGTTCCTCCTTTTTTTCTATTAGTACATGTCAAGGTTTGATTTGGTACCAGTTTTTCAGACTGAAGTGCGTCATTCTAAAAATAATGATTATTATTATTATTATTTTATTTGCATGTACATTTATATTTTAGGAAGAAATTTCTCATTGGTTTTTCCCAAGATCTGACATAGTATATACCTACGTTGTTGAAGTAAGACTGTTGCACTATTAGTAATTATAATGTTGTTTAATCAAGTATGATGATGATAATAATGTTGGGATACATTAACTGTTATGTCTACTGTTTGCTATTTTGGGCATCTATTTCCTTGGCAGGCAGAGATGGCTTTAATTTGTTTTGTGTTTCTCAAGTCCAGCTGTTATTTACTATACCCTCTCCCTCTCTTTTCTACAGGATCCAGCCACTAAAGAATTAACTGATTTTGTTAGCTTTTATAACTTACCCTCATCCGTTGTGAATCATCCTGTACACAAGACATTGAAGGCTTGTTATTCTTTTTATAACATCTCTACAAAGACGCCCTTCAAGGAGCTTCTTTACGATGCTCTAGTTCTTTCAAAGAAGGTGAATGATAAACAATAACAACTTGGTGGGCAGTAATGGTATTTGATATCACAGCTGCAACACCAATGTGGTGCTTTTGCTCCCTCCCTGACCTGCCTCTTGTAACTATTATAGATTTTGGATTTTGTGCAGCCATATATATTTTTTTCACATGATTATCAGCTTATTCATGATATCTCTTTACTAATGTTCTCTCTCTCTCTTTCAAGTGTGGTGCCGATGTCTTCAATGCTCTTGATATAATGGACAACGAGCCCGTTTTTGAAGAACTAAAGTTTGGTATAGGTGATGGCAACTTGCATTATTATTTATATAATTGGAAATGTCCCGAGATAGAGGCAAAAAAGGTAACAGTTTGCACATATATTTCCTCTACACTTGGCCTTATCTTATCTTGTTTATTGTTGTTCCTGGAAGGTCATCTTTAAAACATCATTTTTAATAACTGTCTTGTTTTTAATAGATTGGTTTGGTACTGCAGTGATTTCATTTGAAAAGAAAGTGAAGACACAAGAGAGAGAGAGTTGGATGTGTGTTTGTGTGCGTGTGTGTGTTTATGTGGAATCATCTAATGATAAATTTATTTTATAATAATTATTTTGAAATTGCATTCATGCACCTAGTTTAGAGAGGGGGCGTTGTGTTTGTATTGTCCCACTACTCTTCCTCGCTTTTCTCTTAAATCAACTCTCGCCTCATCACCATTCTCCTCCTTCTGAAAGCTAAGCAAGCCATTTAATTATGAACGCTTGTCTGAAGGGACGGCGAGGTCTAGTGACCTTACTTGTAGGAACAGTCCTCGGACTGTCTTTAGGATGCGCCCTAACCCTCACCTATGGCTTGAAACTAGGCACTTTCTCTTACAGGGAGGACTTTGATAGGCTCCCAAGAATGGCTCTAGAAGCTACTGATAAATTTCATGGGAATACAAGAGCGGTAAGTTGATACTCTCTTCTGTAGCTTCTTTTAATCATTGTTGTTCTTTTGTGCAGGACGAAGCTCAGTCTCCTTTGTCACATAGTAGTAACACTAGTAGAAATGTAAGCAAAACAACTCCTCACTTCAACTACATCCCGAGCAAACCAAGCTCCCTTTCACCTTCCATTAGTACCATCTCTCACCCTCTTCACAAAAAGCTGTACCTTGTAATACTCCTCAGCTATGGAGCTGACTCAACAAAGCTGGAGACCATATACGATACTTGGGGTAGAGATCTTGTAGACTTAAAGTTTTTTGTGAGTTCCTCTGAACATCAGGACCTTCAGTCTGACGGCATGCCCATTATACATCTACCAGGTCAATCCTCCTTTCCTTCAAAATGGCATTACGTCGAGTCTGTACTTGATTATGTGTATCATCACTATTCTGATCAGTACAATTGGTTTGTTTTAGCTAACCATGATGTCTATTTGAACACCAAAGCCCTCCAGGACCTCTTCTTACGTCTAAACCCAACCAGCAATGTGTACATGGGTACACCGGTTGTTCCAGTGTCTCACCAGCAGGATGACGATGGAGACGAGGATAAACCATTCTCCTATTGCCATGGTCAGAGTATTGTACTTAGCCAGTCTGTTTTGAGTCATTTGGTGCTTAAGAGTCAGCCCTGTGTGATGAATGATGAGGAAATTGAATGGGATCACAGAATAGGGAAGTGTCTAAAGAAAACAATGGGCCTTGAATGTGGAGAGAGCGTGGATGAAAAGGTAAGCAAACTCTGTACATGTTTTATGTAATCTAAGAAGTCCCTGATATAAAAGATAAGCATAAAATGTGCCAAATATGTGGAAGACATTGTAGTAACATTTTCTAAAAGAATTCCATTTATTCACTGCATTGATTGTGAACTAATAACTCATTATAGTAAAAGTAGTAATCTTGCATTAATCCCTGTATGCATCCCATTATGGTATACTGGCTTGAAGTCATTGACATATGCATTCTTGTTCTCACTTTTTTGACTGAATCTCAATTCAACAACAAAAGGTACATCAACAATGTACTACGAACCACGGTTATCGTGGGTGATGTTACTATAGCAAACTGTAGAAGGTCATCACACTTACCATCTTGCCAGAAACACATCGAGTTCAGTATACTGATAAATTAATAATGAGAGCTTGTTATTTGCAAAACATTCTGTGCCGTAATTGGATTTATTTTATTTAGGTACTGAAATACTTTGCATATGATGTCTCGAGTGATTCTAAAAAGTTATGGGAGGAGAGCAGCACGATACTGGACTATTTAACACTCAATAACGCCAAAGAAAATGACCAGATGTATTCTCTCCATTACCTGTATAAACTAAAAGAGCTCAGTAAAGCGCAAGAGAGAGCAACTGAACTCAACGAGCACGTCAAAAGCCTCTGTCAGAGTATGCCACACTCTGTACTGGAGGATGAAACTATTGAAGAGCATTGCACTAGTTTAAGATTGAAAACTGATGAGTCCAACGAGAAGGAAACAGATGATAACTCAGACTCTGTTACAATCCCTGTGAGCAAGTTCCATCCGCACAATCGTTTCCAAGTCCAGTCCTGGCATTACTTTGATGCTATTAATATTTACGAGGATGAGAACAGTATGCCCCGCCGGTCACTGAGGACTTACAAATATCACTCCATAGAGTTGCAGAAGGCTTTACAAGAAGCCGTAAAAGCAGCGAGCAGGCAGCATCATGCCAAACTGAGATTCAAGAAAATACTAAACGGCTACGTGAGGCACAATCCACTTGTTGGCAATGAGTACATCATAGATGCTAAGTTTGTGGAGGCCAGGCACCCGAGGAGGAAAGTCGAGAAAAGGATTAAGTTGCTACGTCCATTGGCCTCAAGTTATATCGTCCTACCCTCAAAATCGAACTCGACTGAAACTATTCACTTTGTGGTCCCGATCACCAGAGTTAACCAGAGGCTGGTTGACTTCCTTCAAATGTATGAGAAACTTGCTCTTAGGACGAGAGAGAAAGTCCACTTGGTTCTATCTGTGTATGGTGAAAATGATATAGAGTTAGTGAGACAGAATGTTACTCTCTACTCTAAGAAATACCCAAAGGCTGAGATATCTGTCATACAAGGTTTCGGAGAGTTCTCTAGAGGCAAGGCCCTTGATCTGGGCATGTCTAGCCTCAAAGACAATGATCTTGCATTTTTCTGTGATATCGACATGACCATAGACAGACAGTTCCTTAAAAAGTGTCGCCGTAATACAATACAAGGGAGCAGTGTGTATTATCCGGAAGTTTTCAAATTATACAATCGTAAGTACGTGTACAGGAAATCCTGGCATCCCAGTCGATACGGTATCAGCCGAGAGCAGGGCCACTGGGGCTACTATGCTTACGGGATGCTCTGCATTTATAAATCTGACTACAAATCTATCGGAGGACTGGACACTGGTATGATAGGATGGGGAGGGGAGGACGTGGACCTCTACGAGAGAGTACTGAAGAGTGGCCTAGATGTGCTGAGATCCCCCGATACAAGTCTTCTCCATCGCTGGCACTCCAAGTCTTGCAAGATGCAAAGCTCTGATAAAATGTTGGAGCATTGTCTCATGTCACAGGCGGAAGTGCTGGCGGACAGGAGAGAGCTCGCTCGATACATTTTTGACATACAGGGCCTTGAAGAGGAGTACAGTGAAGAGACTACTGCTCCAAGTGACTCTGAGAAGAAAGAGGAAGAGAATCAGCAGCAGCAGCAGCAGCAGCAGCAGCAAGAAGAAGAGCCATCAACGCAACTGTAACATTACGTGTATATGTATCTATGCATTTTAATAAAAATTAATGATTATTATTATTATTATTATTATTATTACTATATTAAAAGGTGCCAAATATAAACCGTTTGTCCCAGAGCTAGTACTATTTATTTCATGCCACCAGAATCAAGGACGGGTTCTTTGCTAAATGTAACAGTAAAGGATGAGCTAGGCCGATGTAATTCAAATATCAAGAGCTGGAGAAGAGAGAGAGAGAGAGAGAGTGAAAGGATAGTGAACAATACAATAAATATAGAGAACACTTTGTTAGTACTTTATTTATTCCTTTTCTTAGAAGAGGTGCTGGCACATAGAGGGTTTGCTGTGGCCCTATCGTCCAATAACGTCCAAGATTAACACCATTGATAATAACAAGGCCTTTAGTCCAACCCTAACAGAAAGAGCCTAATATAAACGGGGGCCATTTTGACTATGTATATTACAGTCATATCAATGAAAGTGTCCTGAGGTGTGGTGCTAATGGTGAAGTCTCCTTTAAAAAGAGCGGGACCAGTTTGTGTACCAGCTGATGAGCGACTCCACAGCCCCCCAGCCATAACACTAGCAAATAAAGGACAGATAAGAATGTAATTATAATAAAACACTCTTAGATTAATGAATTAACTAAATACACTTACACTACTAATTACTTGTATTTAAACATACAGTCCGTAGATTGGTTAAAAAATTGTATTATGCCATTGGTCAAAGTTCCCTATGCACATAATATGTACAGTTTAGTTGGAGGATCAAATTTTGATAGATCAGTCAAAAATAAGGTGCACTGCAGACCATAAAAATTTTGACATAACATGTTGATTCTGATCAAGTTTTGATTTTTTATGAATATTTAAAGTTGCTCCAAATTCCATGTACTGTGCTTGCTAGCTCATGAAGCTCATGCTGTTTAAAAGTTCACTTAGTGGACCCTCAGTCAATGGTGCTATGCTAATCACTCACTGTTCTATATAACTTGACTTGAACTCAAACGAATAAATTTGCCACGACTTTGGGAACTCGTCATCAACAATGACAACTCCACTAATACCTAACATGTACATAAATAAATAAAATAAATAAATATTGAAAAATAATGCAACCTTTCCTATCTCCAATTTGTGAGCCGAAATTCACTCGTCCACTATTCTCAACCAAGAGATCCAAATTAACATCAGACGACTAAACAAGAGATTGGACACAAACGAATAAAAAAGAAGTACAATATGAAAGAAAGGAGTGGGAGAAACCTTTGCACTAGGTTGGGGAAGAAGGACAGTTTGACTTGCAAATGATGAAAGTTTAGCAAACGGGGTCCCATCATAAAGTGCCTATAGCAAGAAAAATTAAAATACAATAACACCACCATCATCATGATCATGTTAGCTTAAACTGACCACTCCATAATCCTTGAGTTTAGTTATTGTCATTTTAGTGCTCAAAGGCGATATGTTTGTTCTATACAGCACATAACCATATGCTTGTCCTGTTTCTTTGTTGATTGATAGATACTCCATTGGGATTGGCTTCTTTGACTCTTGGGGAGGCTAGGAGGAGAAGAAGAAAAAGAGACAAAAAGAGAGAGAAAATAATCCCTCTACATAATGAGGCTTTATCTTACTGGTATGTAGTCCAATGTCTGAAATAAACTGAGACAAAGTGGCAAGTGTACATCACCTAATGAAATTACACATTTAATGCTTTTAAGCTATGATTGGAATCAGCTCAAACTTGCTACACAACATAAGTACATATTATGTACATGAATATGTATCAGGAAAAAATTTTTTTAAAGTTGAATTATCTCCTGGCCATTTTTGGTGAAATTTGGACAAAGACCCTGTACTATAGCACATGCTTTTTTCCAAAAATAAAATACCCTTAATTATATTATACATTTATGATATAAAATACCGTATGACTCTTTAACACTGTTAGGTGGTATATCAGGTAATGGATTAGCTATAGGGAGGAAGGGAGGGAACTGTTAATATTCATTACTGATAAAAGTAAAATCTCACGTATGCTATGAGGAACAGCTTCTTTGAGTAATTCTCTCAGTAATGTATATTTCTTTGTAATGTCACCTGCTTCTGACAATGGAGCATCATAATCTAACAATAGCAAGGATAATGAAATTTTATAAAATACTAAGAAGTACCATAGCTAGTAACATCAGGTCTGTACTCTCCTCCCTCAATATTAGCTCCGTTCATAAAGCCAAAATTAGTCCCACCTGCAACAAAACAGTAAACAAATCAACAAAAAACAACAACAATAATAAATAAATAAATAAAATAGGAATATCATGATTTCTACTGATATTCTCTATTCCTTTAATAATTTGATTATTTTATGATAATAATAACAATAACACATTAACGATACCATGGAACATGTATAAATTGAAGGATCCGCCCATTTGTAGTATTGTCCCAATATTAACAATCAGCTGTGATGGTGAAAGAGTTCTCTCGAGGTGTCGGCGTCCCCAGTGATCGAACCATCCCGTCCAATACTCCATCACCAACGGCGGCTTGTTTGGTTGGACTAGCAGCAATTTGTTTAAGGCCTCGCTGGGATCGTTTTGAAAATTGACAGTTAAAAGAGCTACAAAAAATAAATATAAATGTATATATTTAATAACAGCAAAATAATTCCTCTCTCTCTTTCTCTCATTCCCTTACCATTGTTTGGTGCCATGTCACTAGATGCTTTTATATCATTTTGACCATCAGACGTAATAAAGAGCTCAACTGCTCCAAGTGACCTCATGAGATTAGCTAAATACTGCATGTGATGACGACCAGTCGCATTACGAGGGCCGTAAGCAGCATACTCATTCTCAACTTGAAAAGCAATGATAGGACCGCCATATGAAGACTTAGGGGAGAGAAAATTTTAATAAGAAAAGAGGAATTGGTAAGAGAGAAATTGAGAGATATTTTTATGTACCTGGAGTGGTGTCAATATTTCAAATAGTTTTGTAAAAAATCTCTTCACAGCATCTTGGTAAGGTTTATAATTACTCCTTATCTTCATATTAGGATCATGCAACAACCAACTGGAGAGAGAGAGAGGGAGAGAGATAAAGAGGGAAAAAGAGACTAAAAATAAATAAAATAAACTCACGCAGGGAGTCCACCATTGTCCCATTCAGAGCATATGTAAGGTCCTGGTCTCACTATAACGTTGAGCTCCAGGCTGTGAGCTATTTTAATAAATTCATGTATATTCAGCAGTCCAGAGAAGTCAAACTCTCCTGGCATGGGCTCATGAAGGTTCCACGATACATAACTAAAATAAAAATACTGTATGTTTCAACTTTGAAGAACCATTTCATTAATATTAAGAGCTTGAACCAATCATCATTTTTTTGTTAAAATAGGAGTGGCTAAATCAAAGTGATTAAATTAATCTAAATGAATATTTTTTTTATTTTCCCTTTCTAAAGGTAAGAATGTGCTTACGTATCAACAGTATTGAGACCCATGGCTTTGAGTTTTTTTAGTCTATCGGTCCAATAATCAGGAACTACACGAAAATAATGTATAGAACCACTTAATATGTGAGTCTTCTTCCCACGAATGTAGAAACTGTCTTCATCCAGTGAGAGGGCTGGATCAGCTGGTTTTCTCCCGACATTAGGTTTCAGTCTGTCCAAGAGAGAATTAGAAGGTGCCTTCTCGTCCTCTCTACTGCTAGAGGTGGGCAAGAGAAGGTAGAGGATGAAACAAACTGCAAGTATGATTATTATGACAAGAGCTCTGTTCAGTCTTATTTTGCTTAAGACTCTACGGACATTTGGAGATAACCTGATAGCCATGGACTCCAGAGCTAGAGGGAAACAGACAAGATGTCGAAGACGATACACGTGAGGTGAAACGAATGTTGATGTTAATGGAGGTGTGGCCTAGCAGCTCCACCCCTTTTGTTGCAGCTAGCATGCAGCAGAAGAAGCCCTTTCACTGTAAGAGCATCACCAGCTCTTTAAAGGTTTCCTGCTTTTCTTTGGCTGCTCTTTGCTTAGTCTCTTATTGGAACAGTTTATCCTGTGGGCTGGTACATGATGACATCTTCTCTATTGTAGAAAATGGCGACGTTAGACCAGGAGACACACCCCTGAGCAATCTCCTGAGGAATGACTTTTGGGGGAAACCAATGAGCGATCCTACCAGTCACAAGTCATACAGACCACTCACCACACTGAGCTTTAGACTCAACTACTGGTTGCATGAGCTGGACCCAGTAGGCTATCATGCAGTCAACATGCTCCTTCATTATTTGTGTACTGTGTTATTTTATTGGCTCGCAAGGAGCGTTGTGCTATCTAACACAATTAACAAGGAGAGCTATTCGTTTATGATGTCTGCTTTATTTGCTGTTCATCCCATTCACACTGAAGCTGTGAGTATCAGACTATCAGTAATTTGTTGTAAAGAGTAGGCGGAGTCTTGTATAGCTAGTATAGGAAGGCTTAGCTATGCAATACTAAATGAAAGTAGTTATCCACTCAAATAGACGATAAAGCTATTTTCTTAAGCCAATAATTTAATTAAAACACTGATACATAATTATTCCATGGATTGCACTTCTTTTTTGTATAGTTATCGTAATTATAGAGCCAATCCCTCTACATTAAAAAATGATTACCGAGCAATTAAAAGTTGATTAGCACCTTCTGAGCTCCGCCCTAAATTTGTTTACCAGTTAATAATGTATGACCTTTCATGTTTAGGTAACTGGTGTTGTAGGAAGGGCTGATGTTTTGTCCTGCCTGTTCTTTCTATTGAGCTTTCTTTGTTATTATTACTCTATACACGAGAAATCAAGCAAATTAATGTTTTTTATTAAGGTAATAATGATAATAATAATAATAGCAATGATAATAATAATAATAATAATGATAATAACAATGATAATAAGAATAATAATAATAAACTTATACAAATGTAATATTTTGCTTCTGCTTCACATATGTAACAATAAGAAGGCGCATCAAAAATTCACATATTTTTGAAATGCCCACAATTCAAAAACTTGTTCTCAGAATTGTCTCAAACTTTTTACATAACATAAGAGCATCAATATATTTCAGATACTACATTCTTTCTTTTCTTTTGATAGCTGATATGCTGCTTGATATTTGGTTGCTGCTCTATGTTTTCAAAAGAACATGGTATAACTGTATTTGGGATATGTATCCTGTATGAGCTATACAGTCTACTCCAATCAAGAACAAGGTACAACTACTAATATGCATAGTATGGTTAGTAAAATATGCTTAATAATAAGGAATCTCAGTAAGTATCAGTACTATGGGGCCAATTACAAATCTTAATTACAATTACACATTCAATTATACTCCTTTTGTATAAACAGACTCCTAGAATTACTACTATGCCATGTTTTAAAATGTGTAAAAAATCCAATTTTGATTGGAATCAGCTCAAACTTTCTACACAACATAAGGACATGTACATGTATTAGAAAAAATTATAAAAATGGAAAATTTTTTCCTAGTCATTTTTGACAAAATTTGACCAAAATCCCTGTACTATAGTACAGGGTCTTTGGCTCGATTTTTAAGAAACTTTAAAAATTCATAAAAAATCCAAAATTTGATTGGAATCAGCTCAAAGTTGATACACAGCATAAAGACATGTATATGCATCAGAAAATATTATAAAAATGGAGAATTCTCTCCTAGTCATTTTTGGCAAAATTTGACCAAAATCCATGTACTATTATAGTACAGGGATTTTGGCTCAATTTTTGAGTAACTTTTAAAATTCGTAAGAAAATTCAATTTTGATTGGAATCAGTATTATGTACATCCTCAATGGCATGTAGCCATATATTAGCTTGCATGACTATTTAGCAATTTGCCGAAGCTTTCTCCTCCAAAATTACCAGCTATATGGTATACAGCTCCAAAGTCCAAATCCTTGTTTACATACAACACTTGTCATTCTCTTACTGGTAAGCCTTCTTGTTTATCTGTAGCTCATAAATTAGCTCCTTATTGATGCATGTAATAGCGTTTAAAGCGTTTAAAGAGGTGCTTTTGATCACGATCAACCTTTTGATTCAATCAGGACGCTACATAATTACATCTCTCCTGACAAAGACAATAGCTAATATCAACAGTCCTTCCTAAGTGTACTCGTTTTATTATATTAAAAGTCACGCATTATATGCTGCTGACTACTCCTACACTCTGCAGTCATCACAACAAATAAAATAAATCAAATTTTGCTACTTTTAATTTTATTATTCCTAATCTATGTGATACGTGAAGACCTACGGATCATGTGACGCAGTCACACTGACCGCGTACATGTACATGTACGCGTCACCTGTTACCTTTATAACAATGATTTGATTATGTAGCTTTTCTGTAACTTCTTCTCAAGGATTGTGTACACATTATTAATTAGAATTCTTTCATCTCTCCTCTCTCCCTTTTGGCCTGTCCCCAATCATGCAGTGTTTTGATTAAATTACTTATTATGGGCTGTGCATGTGTGTGTTTTATACGATTGCTTTCATTAGTAGGAATTACTCGTTTGTATTGTTGATATTTGCTTGTCTGTACATGTTTAGGTTCGGATCCTCTCTTACCATTAGCCACTCAGCTATCATTAGGACACTGGTCCTCACAATCGGAACTGTTTTGTTAATCGCCTTTCGCTTATCGATGCTCTCAGGAATGCTACCCCAGTTCTCCTCTTATGATAATCCAGCCTCATTCTCAGACTCTTTACTCACAAAACTCCTGACCTACTCCTACTTGTGTTACTTCAATGCACAGCTGTTGGTGTATCCATCAATCCTTTCCTATGACTGGCAAATGGGTAGTATTCCATTAGTGGAATCATTAGGAGATATTAGGAATATCAGCACATGTGTTTTCATACTTTATCTGACTGGTTTGGCTTCCCTACCACTTAGAAAATTTGTAAGTGCATCCTTGGTGGCCCGACTGTCTCTCAGTTTAATGATGTTAATGTATGTGTTTATCAGCATTGGTACTGCTCCCCCTAAGTGTATGTGGGTGTGTATATTTTAATTTTAGGCTAAAGACAGTGATGTCATTTTTCTTGGTTTGATACTAATGGTAGTGCCCTTCGTCCCAGCATCTAATTTATTTATAAGAGTTGGTTTCGTGGTCGCAGAGAGAATATTGTACATACCAAGGTATTGTTGTCATTGTTGTCATTGTTGTCATTGTTGTCATTGTTGTCATTGTTGTCATTGTTTTTGTTAATGTTAGTTTGGGTTATTGTGTCCTTGTTGTTCATGGTTTAAAGATTCTTGGTAACACGATATCATTAAGATATCACATCAAATCAATCGATAAGATATTATTTCTTGTCATTATAATCACTTATATACTGCGTACTGTGGACAGGAACCCAGTTTGGAAAACAAGAGAGAGTCTATTCAGGTAAAGGAGAGAGAGAGAGTCACAAGTGAAAAGCGAGATAAAGGAAAAGAAAGAGTGAAAGAACGTTATTATAATCGTCGCAGGTCTGGTGTTGAAACTCTGCCTCATAACTCAAAGGCACATTATAATTATGCTAATTATCTGAAAGACACTGGGCAAACAGACTCTGCCGTTCATCACTATCGTGAAGCCATCAAGTGAGAGAGAGAGGGGGAGAGAGTGGCGTGTGATGGTATTTATGTTTGCAATGTAAAGCCTGGTGAGTGCCAGAGGTCAATTAATGAACTAATGGTCCCTCACTCTTTAAAATACAAATAAAACGAGGACTAAAATTCTATTGTCTAGTTGGTCTTAATAATGAATTTTTGAGTGGGTTGGTAGACATGCAGTGTCTATAGGATAATGTATATGGCCTCTTTCTCTCTCATTATTATTGCTGTTGTTATTGTTATGTGACCAATGGGAAGAGAAATAGAAGAGCATGTGACAGACCATTTATAGTATTTGTAATCAGAGCCACCACTTGCAAAACACGTAACAGCTGCTTCCTTTCCCTCTTTTCATCTCTGATTAAAATAAGGCCCTTGGCAAACCAAACCTTAATGCATTGTGTAAACTGAATACACCTTGGCCTTCTGTCACCTAACCAGAGCATATGGCTAACCAATGTTTATTGGATACTTAACTTAATACCCATAAAGAAGTGAGAACTCTCATATGCATTAAATAGTACACAGTGGCTTCCTTTAATATAATAGGCTCACTGAAGATCATTCAAGTGCTCATAACAATATGGCAACATTGCTAAATGGGCCTGAAGCTTTATATCACCTCAATGAGGCCATTAGACATAACCGGAGACATTTCAAAGCCTTTTTTAATCTGGCTAATGAGATGTGGTAAGATATGATGTATATATGCACTTTGTATGAATGTACCCCTCTATGCAATATACTGTATGTACATGTATGTATATATGCATCCATATGTGTGACTGTGTGTATGGTATGGTGCTGTTGTTGTTGTAACGGGATATGCTAAAAACAGAGTCTTTATGTTTGTACTTTGATTATATTTTTATTGTTTATAATTGGACAGGAATTTAGGAAATAAAGAGAAAGCTGAAGAGCTTTATAAGGAAAGCATAAAGTATAGAAACGCAATCCACACAGACCATAAATAAATAAATGCACTCAATTTGTTAGTAGCTATTGATCAGTACATGAGTTAGTTTTTGTAGCTTAAGACACAGATTTTTATTTTATTTATTTTTAACATCAACATTGCTAAACAATGTACATGTACTGGAGGCAGAGCTTCATTTAAAGGAAATGCACCCACAATAGCTTGATCAAAACTTGTTTCATTTAAAGAAAGCTTCCCTGTAATGGGCCATTTCCTGAGTATTTGTGAGTAACTAATTTCACTAAACTTTTGTAGTGCATTATAATTGCCCATTTAAATTAGAAATTGTAAAGCAAAAGTTAATAGCTATGACAATACAGAAATTTACTGTTGTGCCAGTGAGCAGCATGTTAGCTAGGTAATGGGTCTTATAATATTCATTCTAATATTGCTTGTAAGGGTTTTACTGGGATAACTAAGTCATAGGTACTCATTATGATTCAAATTATATTATGATTCAAATTATAGTTCCTATTTTGTGTTATGGGCTTGTTTGTCTATAAATATAGCTTCTAATCATTAAGTGTGAATCTGATATAATCCCTCATAACACCTCCTAGCTAACACATGTCACAGTTTACACAAGCCCTTAGCAACAGGCCTAAATTAAATATTATTGACTATGATAACATCTTTGTTCCAAATCCTATTACCACGGCATCTCTTTGATATCTTTGATATCGTTTCTTTATAGAATTAATCCCAATTACACAGATGCTTTGATTAAGCTTTCAAGCCTGCTAGTGTCATTGGGTAGGAATGACGAAGCTATCCTGTTTGTTTCTCAATCGGTGAAACTCAAAGACAATGAGCCAGATGTTCTTCATAACTCTGCAGCTGTATTGATGATGGCAGGTATGCCCTGTTTGGCGTCTGACATAACAGTTCTAGTATTTTTGAATGCAATTAGTTGGTTTGGATGCCAGTAGCAGGTGTCCGTGTGAATGGCATTATACTTTACAAATTCTACCTACATGTAGCATGCTATGTTTGTTGTTCCAAACATTATGGTTTATTTATTAATTGTAAGTATCCTAACGAGCTGTAGTTAAAGTAACAATGTAAACACGGGATACAAGATTACTTTTGGCTATAATTAAAGCATTGTTGCACCTGCCCAGCTACTCGGGTAATATTACGCAATAGAGAAGCTTAATTGCCCACGGCATCCTATAGTTTTCTTGAAAGCTCCGCAGGTCCTAATAAGTTTAAATCTGATTATCAAATAAAGATGTAATTATGGATTGTCCCTTGATGTGTGAGCTTGTTTTGATTGCAAGAAAATGCCATGCCCATTACGTTTGATTCCTGTGTTCATCTTTGAAGCTGGTAGACCCCCATAAAGGATAATCTCATTAGTAAACAGAGGCGCATGTCCAGAGGGCAATTATATGATTATAGACAATATTGCGAGCGTTTAGCCAGTTAGTCTAAATAAGTGTCACGCTAATTGGTCCCAAACCTTATTTTGTAGTAATTTGATTTTAGTTGTAAAAAGATTGTATGCACACACACACACTCACTCGCTCCACGCCTGTAACCCACACACACACACACTCACTTGTATCCATTCATATGTGTATATCAGGCAACGTGTCGTGGAGCATCTCTTTATGGAGGAAAGTACTTTCCTTGAATCCAACTCACTCTGAAGCGATGGCTGGGCTAGCGAGAGCTCTTCGTTCGTTGGGAGAGAATAATGAAGCTGAGGAGTTGTTTAAAAGGTTAGTATTATGCGAGGAATGAAGGAAGGAATGAGGAAGAGAGAGAGAGAGAGAGAGAGAGAGAGAGAAAGAGAGTGAAAATTATAATCATTAATATGTGAGGGAGAGAGAGAGGGGGGGGAGAGGTATAAATGAAGAGAGAGAGAGACTTGAGAGTGAGAGACAGGCTGACAGGGTGCATCACAACATTATAAAGTATCTAGTCTTAATAATATAAAACACAGCCGCATCTAATGAATATTTACGCATTAACACAGGTCCCTCTTGATTGCTCCTAAAGCATCAGTATATCAATCACTAGCTGGTCTCTATTACAATACTGGCAGGTGGAGAGAGAGTCACAGTCTATTCAAAAAGGCGTTGGATATGGAACCAGACAACACTGACATACTTTGTAGTTATGTAAGTGAAACATCTGTAATGTGAGGGCACCATGAAATGTGGCTTTCTCCTCTATTAATGTGTAATGTAAAAAGTACCTCTGAATTGAGGACACCTCTGTATTAAGGGCAGGTAGTATATGGGCCTTAATAAAAAGGTTACACTGATAATAGCCTGCACTGTGTTTTTGTTATAGGCACAAGTTTCAAATAGCCTAGAGGAGAAAGAAGTCTTAGAAAGGCTCATACTGGTTCATCCAGACTCATTTTGTCTCTACATCAACATTGCGGGCATCTTTGTCAAACAAAAGTTGGAACTACACCAGGTTTGGAATAGGCTTTGTCTGATTATATTAAATTATTATCACCGATTCTTGCTGGGTTTCATGGCACATTTAGCTTAGTACTAATCTTATGTGTGCTTGTGTGTATTTATCTATGGTGGGTGTGCATTATCTGTTGTGTGTGTGTGTGTGTGTGTTTGTCTATGTGTGTGCATGCTAATTCTGAATCTAATTTAGAAGATTTTGCTTCACGTTGGTATTTAATCATGTTGTTATTGCTATCTTTATCTTTGTGACAGGCTCTTACTTATTCACTAAAAGCTACTCAAATAGCAGCTACAGACAAGGAGAGATATGATGCCTACAATCTTCATGGAACAATACTCAAAGACACTCAAAATCTCTCAGATTCAGCAAAGGTACCTATGCTAACAGCCCATTCAGAATCATAGCATCTAAGATATTGTTTTTCTTGGCAGAACTTTGAGAAAGCTGCTGCCATCTTCCCTGATGCTGTGGGCACTTGGATAAACCTGGGAGCTATAATGCATCTTTTGGTGGGTCTTTGTGGTTTTGAACAGCTGCATTTGTGATGGATAATATAATTGATATAATAAGGCTAATTGCATTGTTCCCTCCCTCCAGGGTGACTACAGGAAAGCAGAGGTCTTTTATAGAAAGGCTCAATCACTTGATCCCCAAAACACTATTGTGCTGGGGAATTTGAAAAAATTGCAATCTTTACAAGCAAAGAAGCACTGAAAAGCAATGATGACTTTATCATTTTTATTTTATGAGTGAGATTTATTTATACATATTTATTTTATTTATAAGGGGAAGCACATTGGCTGCTTTACTGCAAACCAAAGCAGTGGTGTATATTATAATTTTTAAAGAATTTCTTAATGTTAAGAGAATGGATCGAATGCTGTATTTTTATTCATTCACTCTATCAATTATATGTGCTTTAATTGAATTACAACCATTAGCAGTAGTCTCACTATGCTATGGTTGCAGCCAAATAACGCATGCTCACTTGGCCACACCTTTTCTGAGTCCTAAGATTTGTATAAAAGAACTGAGGCTAGTCTCCTGCTGATATAGACTTGTGTGAAAAGAAATCCTTAAGAAAAACCCAAGCTAAAAGATGGTACCTGCAAGAATCGGGAACCTGGCACTACTCTTGTGCATTTTATCTGTTTTCTGTGAACAATGTATCGGATGCGGACCAAGTAAGGCCTCTATCAGCATCATTTCACGTGTTTTGGCTAATAGGATACAGCTTTTATGCTGCAGATCACAATCTTGTTTGTATTACATGTATTTTGAATTGTTGCAGTTCCTCGTGCATGTAATTGCACTGCACTCGACAGATAGCCAGGGGAAGTGTAAAACTGTTAAATGTTTTTAGTACTTTGAGACAGATTAAGGTTTCCTTATTGGTTTTGAAAGGTTTCACTGATTGTTATCTGTGGCTGCCTGCTCTTGCCACTAAAATTACAAATCTTTAAAATTGCTTTTCCCCTTTCTCTACAGTTGCCCGGCCTTGCATCGATACAAGTGTTGTCACTCATGCCAGTGGAAGTATCAAGAAATACGTCAATGGCTCAATAGGTAAGTCCTCAAACACTGCATAGATATCAATCTCATCATTTTGCATTTCTTATAGCAGCGACACCTCTTACTAGCCATGGAGGCATATTCTCTAGCAATTCTTCTTTTATAAGATGGAGGGTAATGCGAAGCTCTGAGTGCCATACGAAAAAGATGTTTTTTGTTATATCTACAATGTCGGAAGGGGATTTCATGCAGGCTGACCGTATTCGCTATGCAGGTCACATGTGCAGTGTCCGAAATTTTACATCCAAGCGCTCGGTTCTTTTTGGGATGTCAAAATCTGAGAACACCACGTCAAACTTTAGGGTCGGCTACATCTGCCCTAGTAAGTATAATTATGGAGATTGTGCGTGTGCATGTGTGGTCTGCTCATGCCGATATTTTGACCTTAAACATCTGAGCAATGCTTTAAGTAGTATACTAGAATAGCTGGCTAGGCTCCTGTATGATAATTACTACTTGTCGTGACATTGCACAAATGTTTCCGTACTAGTTTAAGTAATGACATATCTTTTTATTTTGATATTTAGCACAGAATTCTGATGGAATGGCTCATGAAATGTACAAGTGTCCATTGCTATGGAATTATGCTATGGTAAGGGACGATTATTCCTGTCTTAACTATTATGCGTTATTTCTTTAAATTCATAGTCTGATGACGAAACTTTTAAAAGATTAGTGGAATTCCTTAGAATTAATACGCAGAAAGAAAGTGTGGATGTTTTAAAGAATCCTGGAAGCAGCCATTTGTGCAGAATTTTCAAGCTTGCAAAGACAGCCTGCAACTTAGAGACATTCAATATTGCTGTGACAGACAATTGCTAGTGGCAAAATTATTTTTATAACCCAAACACAGTTTAGCAGAACAAATGCATCAATGTGCATGGATCATTGTCTTGTCTTTATGGCTAATTATTATGTGTATAAGTGAAATCAAAACATTAATAAATAAATAATGTTATTATAAAAAAAATTATTATTAAAATTATAATACATCATTACCGTTGGAAATTTCTTTCTGAAACACATAATGAGCTAGTTCTGTTCTGTCGGCGAGGTTCTCTGCTTTCGACTGCAAGCAGTGCTTATAAGCTCTCTTGGATGCTATTTTGCTCTTGTCACACTCCTTTCTATGCCAGAGATGTATCAACCCTGGGTCCGGTGCTCTAAATATTTCCAGACCCCTTGATATAACACGATTCAATAAGTCAATGTCTTCCTCCCCCCACCCACGTATTTTTGAATTGAACCCACCACTCCGCCTATAGTCGGATGCATATATGCAGACCATACCATAGGAATAGTGGGCCCAGTGTCCATTATGTCTTGAAAGGAACTGGCTCTCATTCCCTCTGTAGTACTTATTAACGAAATCCAAGTTATAGAGTTTGAAAAATATAGGGAAATAGGCTTGCTTGTTTTGTATCGTGTTAAGCTGACAGCGATGAATGAAATCCGTCTTCACTTCCAAATCAACATCGACAAAGAATAAGAGCTCGTGGTCCTTGAATGGGTGAGTCCCTTGATGGAGACCAACGCCTCTTGCAAAGTTCCCTTGAGTCTCGATAATATTGATGTTAGCACTGGAGTGTCGCTGTGTATACTTATTCACCAGTTCATGTACTTTGTTGCTCTCTGGTCCTTCATAGAGGACTATAGTCAGTGATGCATCTTCTTTTTGTGTGAAGACATTTCTCTCAAAGTTTCTCAGGAACTGCTCAAGACGATTGCTCAATCCGGAGAGAGTGACAATAAAATTTACTCTTTTTTTATTTAGCGGCGGGTTGACAGGTACTACACTCTCATGAAACGGTCTAAGTATATTTATTCTTTTTCTTACCCGCGTGTTCCTGTCTAAAGTTTTACGAAATACAAAGTCTAGTATGTACTCGCTCCCTCTCATTGGATCAGTTCTATGGTAGCCATTTTCTAATTTCTCAAACATGAGTCTCTCTGATAGTGGGACACCCTGGTTTGCAATATAAATTGCTTTTGTTAGCACGTAGCGAGCTTCCTCTCTCAGCCCTCCAATGATCCCGGAAGATGGCTGCTCAGAAAATACTGACATTATCCTTGTCTGATTGAAATAGTCCCAGAAATTAATTTCAAATTTGTTCTTTGGTAGATGAGGAGGTCTAATGGATGGTGCTGGTTGCTGTGATGATGATATCTGGCTCGTTGGCTCAAGTCTCCTCATTTCTTCGAGCTCTTCTCCTTCCTCTTTCTCTCCCTCCAGTCTGTGAGGTGATCTCAAATGAGTTGGTACAAATGGATGCAGTTTCGCCATGTCCTCTTTTGCTTTTGCTGCTCCAGTAGTGGAGGTGTTGTGTTCCAATTCCAAATAGAAAGTCTGAAGACGATACATGTACTTTGGGTACTTTATAGGATAAATTGTGATGACTTGTGAGAGCTCCGATGTAGAGAATAAAGAGGCAGACTCAACAATGCTTCTTTTGTCATGATAGAATAGTTTGAGGGTCTAAAATTAAATTTAAAATATAAATAATAGTAATAATTGACATTATATAGGGGCTAGGCAAACTATGCTAGCATAACTTGGCATATAATTTAAAGCATAATGGGCCACAAATTCCTGGCTGACGAGATGATTCTTAAGTACTAGTACAATAGCCCACCTGCTTAATACCCACCTACTCAAGCTTGGCGACCTACTCAAGCAGTGCAACTTATGCAAGTCTGGTGAGTCCAATGGCTTAGGCTGTGCTATTTTGCAGTAACAAAACATTTCAGATTCTGGCGTTATTACAATAATATTGCAATTATAACAGGTGCATGTACATGTATTTAGATAAGCATATAATGAGCATAATTGGTTTAATTGATACAAGGGAAATTGGGGCAGCGCCTTAAAGCAGCATAATTGAAGTATAATTTGCCTACTCCTACTGACAATTCTGACATACCTCTTTAGCCTGTGTACAACGGATCCCAGTTAATGTAATGCACTCACTAATGCTCTGTCCTTCTTCCTCACATTGAGGCAAATGTGCCTCTAAATGTTTCATGAGGCCACGGCTATACACTATCCCAGCCATTGGATTGCATTTGTTCTCATCGCTTGATAAGCCTCTACCAATGTACCCACTGATGTCACTTGGTTCATAGCCTTCAAGCCTCGTTTTCAACGTCCCAATGTTGAGATAGACCCCATCACTGATTACCACAAACCAATCTATGGATTTCGATTGTGACTGATTAATGAGATACTTTACGACCAAAAACTCTTTAGAGTCCCAGGAACGAGAGCTGGGGTCTTGTTGTTCTGCTGGGTCTAACGATACAACTTTCATGCTGTGAGGTAAGTGAGGCATGGAGCTAGCATCCTCACCGACTGTAAAATAAATTACTTTGCCTGGATAGCTCTTAGCCCATGTGTTATGAATGGAAGTACAGTGAGTGGATAGTCTCTCTTTGCCTGTGATTACTGCAATGGTCAGTGGCTGTCTGGAGCTTATTTCCTTGGATATTAAGAGAGGCTGAGGGGCCTTCTCCCCCTTGTCTTCCATCACTTCTCTGCTTTGTCTTTTTGTGAGGAAGACTGGATTGTTGCTCTCTTCTTCTACTTGTGCTTCTTTCATTTTTAAAGGAGGAGGAGGTGCGGTTGTGGTAATCTTATTTCTGCTGCTTTCTCTTGAATCCATGGCAGGATTCCTGATGCTCCTTGCAGTGCCGTCCACCGTGTAGTCTCTCTTGCTCCAACTCCCTCCATTAGTTTGTGTGGTCTCTGTGCTTAGATTGCTGACCATTAGACTCTGCAGACAAGTTGAGATTATGAAACCTGCTGTAATGCCTAGGAGCAAAACAGAGTAGATTTTACACTTGCATTTCATAGTCTAGGGTCAGCAGAGTGGAGGAGAGTCAAGGAAGCAAGTATTTACTGTAGTCCTAACAAAAAAAACAATCTTTAAATGCATTTTTGAAACCAGATCCACCTACTTTTGGGATTAGCCCATGATTAGCCACCCACACTCTGTGACCACCCACTCTCTCATTAATTATTCATAGTTGTTAAAGTAGATCTAGGTGTGGTCTAAAAGTATAACCACGCCCAATACGGGAAATGGTGTCTCCTCCTCCACTACACATTTTCTCACCGTCTCCTCTCCCCCTCTTCTCCCTCGTCTAACTCTCTCCCTGTGCTTGTGTGTGTGTCTAGGCTGTGTCTATTGAGATTTCAATACTCCAACTGAAAAATTAGGCGCACACTTTGAATTTTCATAACTTTATCCCCCCTCTCACTCACAGTCCGAGGCAGCCATCTCTCTTAAACCAAGCAGTCCAGCTCCTTTACTCTCTCCATATACTCACCATGAGTAAGCCTCGTCTGAGGATTAGTGTAAATTTTGGAGAGACCAAGCTCCTTGTACCATGCGGGGATGGCTCCATTACTATAGAAGGCCTCATTGAAAAGGCCATTGAGAGGTACAAGAAGAACAAAAAGATGGTAAGGAAGAATACTATGTGATGTTGCAGTCTATTTGCATTTGTGGTTATTAGTCCGCCACTGTGTGTGTGTGTGTGTGTCTGTCTGTGACTGCGTGTGTGTGTGTTTTTTATGTTTCATGTCTTCTCATCTTGTTCTCTCTTGGTCCAAGTATTGTTAGAGTTATTAACATGATGTCAATATATCTACTTCATGATTGTTAGTTGTATCGTACATTTATGCTGCATTATTAAAAACATTTTTAAAAATCTTCTTTCCACCTGTAATTGTTGTATTTTATGTCATCTCTTACTCCCCCTCACTCCCCCTCCTATCTCTTTCCTCTCCCTTCTCTCCTCTTACAGCATCAAGATGATCAGATTGTAGTTGAAGGTCTCTATCAAGAAGACCGGAGTGTCTGCTACGAAGAAGATGAAGTCATTGAATTACTCGATGACAAGGAAACTGTAAGTTTAATCGTTAGAGTATTGTATAAGAAATTATCCAATTAAGCCTCAAACTAAACTTCCACTAAGCAACATCATTTAAAGGTAACCCTGTGGTTACTTTGATGCGCATTTGCTTGAAACAGGACACTGTTTTATTTGTCAAAAATTTCCAAGAAATTATGCATAGTTGTGCTAGTCTCATCTCATTGCTGTTGTTGTTATTTTAATGTTTCATGGTAACGCGAAAGCACCCCTCATTCTGTTGACAAAGCAATGTCTAGCATTTATCAATACAAGCTATTGAGGACTGGCAGCTAAGTATCTTTTGGGACAAAAATATTTTTATTAATATTTAAACATTAATTACTTGGATAATCTCCAAGTAAACAGGTACTGGCTGTGTTTTGTATAATCATTTTTATTACTGAGATAACGACAATGCTACCCTAAGGCTACACTTCATAGAAATACAATCATTGTTATATCTATTATCAGCCTTACATTCATTTTGCATATACATGTACTTTATAATGTACTGTATAGCTGCAGTTACAATATGGACAATGTTTCTATATTTTATAACATACACAAGATGCACCTCTTCATTCCTAGCATGCCTTTCACCATTTTACATGTATGTAGCTTCAGATTAGAGAGAGAAAGAGGAGGAGGAGGAGGAGAAGGAGGGAGAGGGAGAGGGAGAGATTTTTGTGTGTCATACAGTATCAGTCAATCCTATAGTAGCTAGTACACTAGTCACTTTATGGTCTGTTGCTTTATCCTTTGATATGTTCAATTCGTAGTATACATAAAGTGTATTATTAATCATCTCTTAAGCATACACTTAGGTCATTATGGCCCATTCTTAATATCGTTAGTACAGTGATTGATTGAGCAGCTGTAATGTATATATGGTATAAATGATGTGATTTGTATGTAAGAATAACAGACGCATTGATAGGTGTGTGAGAGTGGGAGTGAGTCCATGTAGTACATTCCAGTCATTCCCCAGCATGTGTTATGCAGCATTCACTTGTACATTGAATTCAGTACATGTACATGTATATTGCATTTATGGGTTAGTTTACATGTATACATCTTTCTGTTGTTGATACTAAATTTTGTTTGTTTGTGTTTTATCAATGAACCAATGTGCCATATGAATTTATGTTTGTAGATTACAAATGTTACCGAGACCCTAATTCTCTTTCTCTCTCCTCTCTCTCTCCTCCCTTAGGTTAATCTAGTTTATAAAATCATACCACACGATGCTGGTCCAGATTATGAGCCGGTTCTAA